TGTCTTCTGACCAGTTGAATTCTTGTGTTTTCTGAAGTAACTTGTACAAGGGGGCAGCAATGCATACAAACCTCCTGTAAGAAGAGACCAGTTCTGAATTTTTTTTTTTTTTCCATTGTTTCTGTTCAGTTATGCGATGCCTCTGGAATGTCCATTCTTTGCTCAGGAATGTCCTCCTCCCAGGGTGTAATTTCAGCCCTGAGTCAAATGAGTTTCCATGCACCAGTATGTCGCCCAAGAAGACGAGGCACTCCTGTTCTGGACCAACCTCCAGCACCATTCTCTATCAAGCGTTCAAACGTTGGAGCATTACAAAGTCTAAAAACAAGGACCTTAAAATGCTATAACCCTCTATTTGTGTTCAAACGCTTCCTTGGGTCTAACTCCTGGGGACAGCGGTAATAGCCATTAACTGCTTCTCATGTCTAAAGATGAAAACCACTATATCCTGCCAGACATTACAACATTGCCACCTTTTGAAGCTGAACATTACACTCTTTGTCCGATTGGCACCCATGGTTTCTCAAAACAGTTCAGGCCCAGAATTCACATCTTGCACCTCAGCTATCCAGACTTAAGTGGCGTATATTCTTGCCCCTGACTGAGCATCGCCACCCCCTCCTCATCAGTGCTAGCTCACTGGTCACTGTGCAGAAATGAACTGCCGTGTCTTCCAACTCAAATTCTACAGGTACCACTTCTGGACAGGCCAGTGTGACTCTTGACACCGTATCCACCAGAGCAGTGTAAGGAACCTCTTCAGTGTTGATGGGCATGTGGCAGAAGTCTGATATGGATGTTTGCTACCTGTGCTTTTATTTTTGGCTAGGGCAGTGTTCATCTGGGACATGTGGAACATGGATGTAGGGGCCTGCAGTGTCCCCTTCACTGTGACCATTGGCATGTTTACTGCTGACTTCACCCCGATGGACAAGCCCTAGCTAGACATCCTGGCTGGCTGCATGTCCAGCACCAGTGGCCTTGTGCCTCTGTCTGTGTGGCTGTTGGTATGGCCAATCTTTGTATCAGTTCAGTCATCTTCTCCACCCATGCAGGCTTCAGTGACACACTTGACTCCTCCACAGCTCTGAGTGCAGAACTGGTTACATCCATGCACTGTGAAGCTGCTCACACCATTTCTCTCTCCAGTGCCAACTCCAGGCCTCTGACAAGTCGTGTGTGTGGATGTGGGCAAATTCTGTGTGAACATGCAGCGACATGATGTGAGCATAAGCTTATCTAACCGAAGTTTCAGTATCATTAGCTAGGGCTCTTAATGGTTCCCCTGCCTGTTTTTCGGAGGTTACACAGTTCAGATCGAAGGAGCTTGGGCCAGAAACACAGCCCAAAAATCTTCGGCGTGCCCTGACCAATGCACTGTAATCAGATCTTTCACTAGGGTCTAGCAATAGCAGGTAAGCTAATGCATCATCAGTTAAACAAGGCATCAGCTGCAGGGCTTTCTGTTAATCAGACCATCCAAACAACTTGGATGCCTGTGGAGTCTTAACGCTTACCACCAATGTTGCACATGGGTGCCACCGTCTTTGTTTACATCTGCACCCAGATCGCAACATCACAGAAGCTGGGGATGGCACACAGTGACGGCTAGCTGTTGAGCTAGCAGGGCACTTCCAAGCCTGGCTCTTCTTTCACCACCACTAAACTCTCACTAAACTCACATGAGGTACAACTCACCCCTGGTGGTTGCAATGCTCTTATATAATGAATATTTTACTATTTTGCTCATGCTCACCAGGGCTGACAGTATTCGTGGAGGGCACTGTATGCTTCAATGGCCCTATGTTTCCTCATTGAATTTTTCTCGGGAAAATCTGAGTGTCTGTGGTAACAAGTCCATCTGGCCTCACTCCTGTGACCTATTGTTCATACCTCTGGTGTGTTTACAAATGTTCATATTCTGATATTATAGAGCTGAAAGATTAAGCTATTTTAAATCAAAATTGCCATTTGAAAGAGTGTAGTTTTCAAATTGAACTTTAAATATAGCTTACATTATCCACAACATTGTCTTAAGCTTTAAATTTGGTAATTTAACCTAATAGCAGCAGCCTGTACTGCTTGAAGATGAGTTACACTATTCAAAAGCAGCCAAACACCCACATGCTGTGTACAGCACAGCCACAACTAACCAGCAGTCTAGAACACTATGTTTAGCATTCAAACCTCAAGCCGGAAAAAGTGAATGCTCTGGACATCTTTGCCAAAATAATTTATAGTAAATAATTGTGACTTAAATCAGTCACAGTATCGGTTAGTAAAATTGTCTACTGTTTTCCAACTCACAGTCTGAAAAAATCGACCGGTGGCTAACAAAATTTAAAAATAGAGCTAACCATGAAGATAAATCGGTTGAAACGAGTGGCAAAAAACAATGACTGCGTTGTTTCAGCCAAGGAGTCCACAACTGAGGCCATCCATCCTGACCCCAATGATGCCAATGGGCCATCCACATCAAGTGCAGGCCTACAACAACAGAAAAAGCTAGCTGCTAATTCCAAAGGCCTGGTTGTATCAAAATGCCAGTGTGATGAAAGGTACATAAAATATGGATTTACATGCATTATACTAAATGAAAAATACATTGTTATATGTTCAGAGGTACTTGCAAATGACGTTTAAAACCTGTGAAATTAATACCAAGCGTCTGACGTTAAAAGATAAGCCAGTTGACTTTTCTCATCGCAGAGTCATTGTTGGCTGCTCAGAAACAGACAATGATCAGCCAAACCGCAGACACTGTCAAAGCGCTGACTGCCTCATATGAAGTGGCATATTTGATTGCCAAAGCAAAATAGCCCCATACGATTGCAGAGACACTCATTTGTTCGGCAGCCGTGGCTAATACTAGAAATACGCATGAAGCTACGTTTGTCAGCGACATTGAGAAAATTCCACTCTGATAACACCATCAGCCGTTGTGTTGCTGAGATGGCAAACGATGTGTATGTCAACTAAAAGAGACTCAAGGGCAGAAAAAAATTTTCTTTGCAATTGGACGAGTCAACAGACATCTCAAATGCATCCCAACTGCTTGTATTTGTTCGCTACTGCGATGAGGGAAAACTGCTCGAGGATCTGTTGTTTTGCTGTGCACTGGAGGGAATTTGCACAAGGAGATCTATTTTTGAAAAACTCTAACAAACTGGACGAAATGGGTCTGTGCTGGGACAGTTGTTGGTGTGTGCACAGACGGAACAGGTGCTATGATGGGAAAAACAAAGGACTAATGGCAGTGGCTCATGATGTAGCTCCCCATGTTTTTCACTTATTCTGATTTACAGAGGCCCTTGCAGCAAAATCTCTCCCCTCAGAGTTGAGCAGTGTGCTACAGACAGCAACTCATACAGTGAAGTCAAGACTGTTTGTTTGCCCTGTTGTGCAAAGAAATGGGGTCAGAACACGAATTGTTACTTCTGCACGTGGCTCTCCAGAGGAAAAGTTCTTCAAAGGATATTTTCATTATGAGATGAAGTATGGATTTTCCTTCTTGATTTTGCATCTTCCTATTTTGAGCAATTTGAAGTGGCTTACAGATCTTGTGTACCTGTACACATAACACAGCCATCTTTCATCCTTTAGCTCTGTGGCATTCCATGGAAAGCAATGGTAAAGTCAGTTTTCCTTGTGCGGCTCAAAAAGTCTTGTCTGTAATGTATTCTTTCATGAGACAGACATGTCTTGCTAGCTAGGTGTTTATAGTAGTTGGACTGCAGCTGAAACACTTGTGTGTTTGAGATGACTGGTGTGGTAGAACTGTTGTGTAACCTCTGTCCCATAGATTGTTGTTGGGAGAGGATGGTTGGAGTGTACGTTATGTTGCAATGCATGCTGGGCATTGTAGTGCAGCACATTGTGAAATGGGCTAATATAGATAGAATATGAAAATTCTGTGGGCCGGATAGGATTGTGCCGTGGGTCTGATCTGGCCCACAGCCCTTCTGTTTGATGCATGGGGTCTAGCCCATGAGGATTAAACTTTGTCATCATCAATCAATCTCTTAACTCGCACAGCCTGTTGAGGACAACTGCAGTGCCTGGCCCTGGAAAATGCAGCCACCTCGATCCTGCAGGATTATTATGGCATATGTCATTATCATGGTGCAGAGTCAAACAAAAAAGTCTAACTGGCATGCAGTGTGCCAAGCCTTCGTACAAGATGTTTTCGGAGTGTCTGAGTTCCATGTGTTATCTATGAAATATTTATAAGAGCGTCAAACACCACGACACTGCAAAAGTGATATTCCAGTCTCACCACAGGACAGAACGTTGGTAACATGCTCATATTATGAAACTGGTGTGTCATTCAATTTTGAAAATTATCCCAATCTTTCGGGTATGATTTTATGTTCATTTGAGATGAAACACAGCATGTTATATATTGTAAAGTAATGTATTGTGTTTTTTAATGTTGGTTGCGCTTCAGACTGCTTCCCCATAAGGGTGAATCTGATTGCGAGTGCATTGAAAATATTCAAAGAGAACTCAGTCAAACTACATGTTTTCTGAGGATGAGTGAAATTAGAAACCACTGTCATCATACTGATGAAAATATAATGTTGATTTTTGCATTTGAGACCTAAACATCGAGCTGGATCATTTATTATTATTATTATTATTATTATTAATTTATTTTTTGTACATGAGACATTAATACACAAAGACATATGACATGGTCAGAAAAACTCCTGTGAAATGTGACCCAGCACCTCTGACTTTTAAATGCCCAGAAGAACACTGTGTAATGCATGCATTCAGTGCCGTGTTATACAAAAAAATGCTGGATGTTTTTCATGTTAAGCCAAAAGGCTCAAAGTTTGAGGAGTTCCTTTTATTTATTAAACAAGTTGCATTTTCCATGAACAAGTCAAGAATTGTATCCTTTCAGTGAGCATCAACTAAGACTTGGTGGCAAGACTTCAGCAATTTTGAGTTATTTTTTGCACAATAATTCTAATCTTGTGTCCCTTCCCCCCCAGCTTGTACCAGCATTCATCCTTTTGGTAAGAAGATAACGACTACCAAATGAAAACTGTTTGTGGTCCCAAAAACAATGGCAAGGCCTGAATCTGAAGACTGCACTTCTGATCATCTAAACTGCACCTCTGACCACGTAAGAAAAATACTTGAAACCATGCTGAAGGACAAGCAAAGCCTTTCACATAAAGAACAAACAACGCTTGGAAGTTACGGGACAAGACCATCACCAAGCCTGAAAGCCATGAGTGACCAGATGTTGACACAACCTCAACACACTTCCAGGCCTACTTTGATGAAAGCACAGGGATATTATAATAATAATAATAATTCAGAATGGGTGTCCCCTTTAGGAAAGAAGGACTCTAATACTTTTCACTGGGACAACTCAATTCAAAGACCTCCTGGTTATCCAGCACTGTCCTCTGGAAATAATGCACATGTGAATGTTATGAACAGTGAGAACCTCAACAATATGCACAGCTGGCCTCACCAAGAAAATACTGTTAGAACCTTGCCTAAGGACTGTATCCAACAGAGAAAGGCCACAGGTCATGCTAACTTTGCTCCCAGTGTTTCACATCAAGCTGACCTTGGTTCTGAATGTAGCAAAAAACACCCTGAAGTCTTTAAATTGCCTGCCCTGAACATTCAGTCAAAGTTTGAGAATGTCGGCAGGATACATAAATCAGTTTCTCACAAAAGAAAACAGTTTTTTGTTACAGTGAGTGAGGATAATACTGGATTTGGATTTGTTGCTGAAAATGTTGTTTCTGCAGATGAACTGGTCAAACCAGATAACTCGTACACAAGGACATTGGATAATAGCATAAGACACTTTAGTGGACAGTTTGGCAAGAGCAGTCTTGATGCTCGTTCCATATCTGCGCAGGCTCATCAGCAAAGTGCTTTTTTGCCTAAAGAGAATCATCATCACAAGAATGTTCCTCAGAAAGCTGTTGCTGTTGTGGCACCTTTAGCTCAGCATGTAATAACAGGTGCTGAATTTTCACAAGACTCAACCAAAGGAAATGAAGGAGGCCATGGAACAAGAACTGTACCAGATGAGCAGTCACATCATAGTTATCTTTCATGTCCGTTACAATCAAGGGTAAATGAGTCTTTGTGTGATAATGAGGCACAAATTCATATGTCTCAGGAAATGCCATCAGAATCAGTAATGACCACTGAGTTTTCTCAGTGTTCAGAGCCAGAGGGTCCTGTTACAGCGAAGGAACTTTCTAACCAAAGTGGAAGTTTGAGCTCCATGCCTGTTGGTAGCATTCATGTGGAGAGAAAGGAGTCAGTGCAGTCATCCCACGTGAAGGACCAGAGCATTGCTGTTGATACAGCAATAAACAAAAGTTATGATGGCACAGAAACAAGAATGGACCCAGAGTCAACTAATAGGTGGTCTGCTGTACCTGTAACAAAGTGGTCTCTTCAGAAATTACAAACATTGGTCATTAATTCAGAATGGAGGCAGAAAAAGTCTCAGAAAGAGATCCTTCTCAAAGAATTTTTAACTACAATTATAAACTTGTATTGGGGTGGAGATTATCGAAAACTCTGTGAGGCTGCAAGATCAGACATTTATACCAACATCATGAAAGAAGTCAAACTTCACCGTGGAACCAAAGATTCTGTAATACTACAGGAAATTCCAAAAGAGAAATTTGACCAACTTGCAGAGCACTTTCACATCTTAAAACATGACTCTGCACCAACCGAGGTGATCCAGTCATCCTTTTCGAATCTTAATGAGAAAGTTGATGACAACAAGGAATGTGGTCATTCGTTATCCTTAATGACTTTTCATAGTGCACCAGAAGTAGATGTTGAAGTAGTGGAGAGGCAGAAAAACATGCATGTGGCTGAAAATGATAAAGGAGAGGCATCTAATGAAGCATCAAGTAGAGCAATGTCTTTTGCACTGGGACAAAGTCAACCATTACCAACTGTGCATGAAAAAAAACGCAAAAGTGTTGGAGACGGTATCTTAATGGATAATAACAATCCAGTGAGGACAGATCTTAAAACTAAATGGACTAGTTCTATCAGAGAGACAGTAGGACAAAAAGAGCCTTTGCTAGAGTGCTTGAGTAAGCCATCAACAGAGACTGCTGATAACTGCAAAACAGTAACAGTGAGCTATGATGCAATAGGGGAACCATCCAAACCAGAAGAAGAAAATCAAAGTCCAAGAAACGAAGTGTCTTTGCTAGTGTCCTTGAATGAGCAATCACCAGCTGTGAGTGATGACTGTGTACATGTAAAGCCAGACGATCTGCTCCAACTCCCTGCAACAGAGAAGACTCCTCCATTAGATGACTGTGGTAACTCCTCAGACTCTTCAGATCCTTTTGCTTTTATTAAAATAAAGGTTCTCTCCTCTGAAATGGCTAAAAAAATTGCTGCTAGTGAGTCATATGAGGAGGTAGAGAATATACAAAAAGATGTTTCTGTACAGACCATAACTGAAAACAATGATCAAGTCATTGTAAAACTATGTGACCAGATGTCTGAGGATGAAGAGCACATGGACGCTAAAATAAGTACAGCTGAGAGCAACGCCACAGGGGAATTACAGAAGTACTGTTGTTTTCCTAAATGGTTCCAGGTTTTAGGATATGCAACTGACTTGGTTTGCAAGTGTGAGAAAGAAGAGTTGAGTTCTGGAAATGATGTCTTCTGTAGAGATGTGATAAAGGAGATGACCATGACTGGAAAAAATGTGCCAATGTCACCCATTCTAGGTGATGCCAGCATGGATGAGATTGAGATTGTGGATGTCATCACTGATTATGAGGATGTCCTTAAAATAGCAAATGCAATATCGGAGCAGTTGACAGATAAGCCACTTGCAGAATGTGGGCCAGATGCTTTCAAGAAGGAAAAACATCACAGACCTAATGCTTATCAGAAGAAAAGGACCTGCCACTCACCTTGTGGTCAGATTGCATCCAAGGCTAATTTAATTTCCGATCTTAGCAGTGATGCATCGCAGATGGACTTGGCCTTACCTTTAACATTTACAGACATTGCTAATCTTCAGTGTGATGAACATGGTAGAGAGACCACAACTACTGAGTTCCAGAAGGAGACTAAGATAGTAAATCTTGCATTATATGGATCATCCGAGTTGAGACATAACAGATCTACAACGACAAACAGTTGTGCAAAGGAAAAAGGATTTTCGGATGAAGAACATTTCCCTCCAGCAACTATTAATGTAAGAGTGAGCCCTTGTTTGAATAATTATGCAAACAGCAACAAGAGCCAGACTACCAAACAACGCATTTTAAAATCTTGGAGGAGCAGCCATGTGCCCATGAAGATGTTTACCGACCGCAGATTAAAGAAGCTGAATAGTGCAAGAAGAACTGAATCAAAAAGTGATGCTGAAAGTACCTCAAGGATTAAAACAGGTGCATGTTCAACAGCATTTGATGTGGTGAGGACCTTGCTGTCACATCAAGATGACATGCAAACACATGACTTGGAATCAATGAGAGATAAAACTGTACGCATAGCTAACCAACACAAAAATGCAGCTAGTCAATCAAAGGATAAAAGCAATTCAACTAAAAAGGATAAAACAAAGCAAAAACGTAAGGAGACATTGGCATCAATTAATCCTAACACCAGACAGAAAGCAAATAAGAGAAAGTCAACTCAGTCATCATACGAGTTGCCCCACACTTCTAGCAAAAGCAAACAGGAGTCACACAGGGATTTAAAACTGGATTTCAAAGTTCTCCCAGAATCTTTCAACTTTACAGATGGTAACACCAGGATGGAAGCTGATCGGTCTGCAAGCGCAAAGTGTGGTTAGTACTGCATATGTTTTTTGCCTTCTTAGGGTTTTTTTATTGTATGGTTTCTTAGACTTTGGTCCACCTAGAAATGCCAGGCCTGAATGTTAAGGCTCGAAATCTGAAGAAGACGACATTGGGTAAGCCAGGTAATCTTTTTTCATGATGTTTGACCCAGTCATTTGTATTGACGACATTTTTTTAATTTTTTTTTTTTTACATTGTTAGGGGCCTGGTGTGTCAGCCCCAGGAGGAAAGGACATCTAAAATCTACACTTGCCTCAAATGTCTCTGTGTCACTTGGCACATTTCAACAGTTCAAGAGAAGATATGAAGAAAAGAAGCAGAGATTGCTTCCGAAAACTACTTGAAAAAAAATAATGGGCTAGACATTAGAGAGACATCAATAAAAATATTTTGTAATAACCCTGCATGTAGTATGTATATTTGACGACCTCTAGAGTCTGAAAAATATTTCAATTTACACAAGAGTTGTAAAGCTGCATTCCAGGACTGCTCTCTAAAGGGGTGAGAGAAGTGGACTCCAAACAGAAGAATGGAGGGTTCATGCAGGGTTGTTGGATCAGTGAATTATTATTATTATTATTATTATTATTATTATTATTTATTATTATTATTTATTTATTTATTTTTTTTAAGGATGTACTTTAAATAGTGCTATAATATGGTATACTGTATTAGTAATGTTCTAAACAATTACCTTTACATTTACACAGGGTTGGGATGTAATTAAATGCAAGTATTGGGAATACATACTTAGGATACAAAAATTAAGTATCTGTATTTAGCCTAGGTTATACTTAGACAGTGTTCAGAATACAGTTACCTTTTACATTTTTGGGTAAAATACTTTAAGAATATTTACCCACTAACTAAATAACATACGGTATTCAAAAGAAACATCAATGCTTGTTTAGGAACTATTTCAGAGCCAGCGCACAACATGGAAAACATGCTTGTTCAAATTCTAAAGAGGACCTCTTTACAAACAATGAAATTCCTGCTAAAGCCTGAACAGACTGATAAATCAAGTCACGGACACTGCCAACCAGTAACAGCGAGGAGCAGTATGAAGTGTAAAAAAAAAAGTTCCCATGTTTCTTACCAAGATGTATTGTAAATGTATTCTAAATGTTTTCTGAATACATTATTTTTTAGTACGTTTTAGTAAGTGTTGTGATGGAATACCTTGCTGAATACATTTAGGACAGTGTATTCAGCCATTACTACTTTTTTAAAGTGTTTTGTCCAACGCTGCCTATACTTGATATAAGCTGAACATACACTGTGTATCATTTTGTGTCATTTTTGAACACAAAAATAGCAGCTGGATTTGTTGTAGAAGTGCCGGCTGTTCAGGAATGTCTGGCACCAGTGATTTTCATCATAAGCTCAATTGTCTGCTTGGTAAATCCATGATAAAGGTTTACAAAGTCAGATTGTAATCATAAGCCTCTCAACCAAATCTGAATATGCATAACTATAAGAACAGTATTTGGACGCTTTTCCAATATCTTTGCTTTAAAAAGACATTATGACAACAGAAATGCTGCAAAGTTTGATTCACAGAGGGATAATTATACCCTTGAGTATGAATGTCATTTGCCGTCATTGCAGTCCTATTAAAATTTAGCTGTGTCCAGTGTCTGGAGAGAAAGCAAGACTGAGAGCAGTAGTTAATTCAGTCTGGACCTTCTGGATTCAGTTCATGACTACATGCAGGGTGTCGAAACTCTGGCCCTTGGGCCAACTGTGGCCTGCAGCATCACTCTTAAGAATACATTGTTCTGGCCCCCCACCAGCACATTGAAATATTTCCAGATGGTGAAAGTTAGCTAAACTTATGAGCCATTTTCATTGACTGAACCTGCAAATAAATTTACAGAATGACACTTAGTGATGGCTACAGCACAAAGGGCAAAGTGCAAAGTTGACAGTGCGGACTGGCCATTTCAAGAGAGATGGAAATCAGAATATTTTTTCATTGAGAGCCACAGCAAATGTTTGTGTCTCATATGCCAAGAAACTGTTGTAAATAAGAAATTTAATATAAAGAGACATTATGAAACAAAGCGTGGGCGTAACAGTAAATATTCAGGAGATGGGGAGGCAGAGAAACTTAAGCACCTGAAAGCTACACCTGGTGACTATGCTAATTGTTATGCATGGAAAACCTTTCTCTGATGGTGAATTTTGAAAAGAGTGCTTAACTATAGTGGTCAATGTCATTTGCCCCTGAAAATAAAAGGAGGGCTTTAAGATCGTCTGTCTTACCTGTAACACTACAGCCCGGAGAACTGAGGATGTGTCATCAGATATTAGGAAACAGTGAAAGGATTCATGCTTTTGACTGTTTTTCACCAGCTTATGATGTAAGTATGGATGTGACTGGTTTTGCCCAGCTGTGTGAATATCACTGAATCATTTCTGGATCTTCAGAGTCAGAGGGCCACAGTGGATTTATTTCAGTTTGTCAATTTGGCAGTTGAAGACACAAAACTGTGCTGGGACAAACTGAGTAGAATGGCTACATACCAGCGATGACGGGTGAGTAGAGTGGATTAACCTCACTCTTTTGCATCAAAGTGAATGAGCAGGGTGGGAGCACCCTTAAACTTACCTGCTTAATACACCAACAGCCTCTGTGTGCTAAGTGCCTAAAATTGGATCATATCATGACTGAATCAAGGCACCAAAGCCTCTGCCAGTTTCTTCAAGATATCCAGGGCGAATATGGCAATGTCACTCACCACAACAATCTCCAATGGCTCAGTCGCCACTTAGAGTGGAGTTTCTAACTGAAAAGGGACATCCAGAGGAGGAACTGCCTGATCCTGCTTGCTGGCAGATATGGCATTGTTAGTGGATATTTTCCGAAGTATTTGAATGTGCCAAACACCAGCTTACAAGGAAAAGATGCTGTGGTGAACCAGCTATATGCGCACATCAAAGCCTTTTGTACCGAGCTCTAACTATACAAAAGGCATCTGTCACAATCTGAGCCAAACATGATACACTTCCCCATATTGCAAAAGGTAGTGGGCAGCTTTCCAAGAAAGAACCGCTACCAAAGAACCAACTCTGTCTCCTCATAGCCCTACCAATGAACCAGCTATGTCTCCTCATCCCCATACCCCTACCAATGAACCAGTCCTGTCTCCTCATCCCTCTGCAATGAATCAGCCCTGTTTTCCTATCCACCTACCAATGAACCAGTCCTGTTTTCAGATCCCCCTACAATGAACCAGTCCTGTTTCCCCATCCCCAAACCCCTACCAAGGAACCAGTCCTGTCTCTCCACCCCCCCTACCAATGAACCAGAACTGTCTCCCAATCCCCTACCCCTACAATGAACCAGCCCTCCATATGATTCAATCTTGATTCAATCTTTTTCAGTGAGAAGATACCAAACGCTGTAATTATTTTTCCACAATTCCTTTTCAAAATAGCCCTGTCTCCCCATACCCCTACTAATGAACCAGCCCTGCCTTCTCGTCCCCTTCCCCAGTGAACCACCCCTATTCCCCATCCCAAACCTTTACCAATAAACCAGCCCTGTCTCCTCATCCCCTTACACCTACCAATGAACCAGTCCGATTCCTCATCCCAAACCCTTACTAATGAACCAGCCCAGTCTCCCCATCCCCATACCAATGAACCTACGCTATCTCCATATCCATCCCCATACCCCTACCAATAAACCAGCCCTGTATCCCCATTCCCATATCCCTGCCAAGACCCAGCCCTGTTTCCCTATTACACATACCAATGAACCAGCCCTGTCTCCCCATCCCCATACCCATTCCAATGACCCTGACTTTTCTCCCTATCCCCATTCCCAAGGAACCAGCTCTACTCCCTATCCCCATACCCCTACCAACAAACCAGCCCTGTCTCATCATTCCCTATTCCATTATCAATAACCCAAGCCCTACTCCCAACTGAAGGAGGTGAGCAGCATTGTGCTGAATGACATCTCACGACATGGCATAATTGCAGGGGATCCATGTTTTTATTAGTATTGTTATTATTATTATTATTATTATTATTATTATTAGTATTATTAGTATTATTAAGAAAAATAGAAAAATGGTTACACCAAATGCTGTAATTATTATTCCATAATTCATTTTCAACTATAGTTTAAAAGAGTTTTACAAACTCGTGTGTTGCTGTTTGTTTTTTTTCCAATAAAGATACATAAATGGCATCATATTTGCGTCCATCCCCATACCCCTTCCAGTGACCCAGGCCTATCTCCCTATCCCCATTCCCAATGAACCAGCCCTACTCCTCATCCCATTCCCCTACCAATAAACTAGCCCTACTGCCCATCCCCATACCCCTACCAATGAACCAGCCCTGTCTCATCCCCATACTGCTATCAATGAACGAGCCCTTCTCACGACTGAAGAAGGTGAGCAGCATTGTGCTGAATGACATCTCATGTCATGGCATAATTGCAGGGTATCTGTGGGAATTATTATTATTATTATTATTATTATTATTATTAAGAAAAGTGTAAAAATGGTTAAATCCTTTTCAGTGACAAGACTTCAAACACTGTAATTATTTTTCCACAATTCATTTTCAAATATAGTGTATATGTGTGTTACAAACTCTTGTGTGTTGTTTGTTTTTTTTGTAATAAAAATACAAAAATGGCATCATATTTGCAATTTTAGGTTAATTAGTGTCTGTTTTACAGCTAGTAAGTAGCCACACTTGTTTTTATGCTGCTGTTGTCATATATCATTAGCAAAATGTGTTATCCGATAATTTACCACAGTTGTGTTCGTCTTGAATATTTTGGCAGAATTATGAGAGGCATAAGGTGCAGTAAGGTGCTAGCTAGTGGTCACACGTGGCGGGGTCCAGTGTGATACTTCTCATGGGGCCCAAAATCCCTGGTGGTGCTGCCGAGTGTAATCACCCTCAAACTGAGAGTCTTTGTTTAGTTTACCTAATAATTAAGTATTGTAGTGTCCACCACGGGCAGTGTGTGGTTTTGTTGTAATGTGTAGTTGTTGTTTATTGAATTGTGTCTGATGAGGGTGGGTTCTTTGTGTATGTGTGTTTTCTACCCTCAAAAGCATTTGTCTGAACGCACAATGTTTTCTTGATTTCTTCTGCTTCAATGCTACAATATATTTAATGTATGTGCTCTTAAATTCCCTAATGACAGGGATGAATTTTATTTGCGTTTCATGTGAAGGACCACTTAAATTTCTGTTCTAAATAAATAAATAAATAACGAGCTATCTGAAACATAACATTATTCTTGTCTACTGTCTTTTTACGATTACATATGGGGAGTTTTTTTTTTACATCTGATTTAACATTTGGCTTTTTTGGATTGCTCGTTAAATCTCTGCTTTAGAAAATCATGCTTTTTCACTCAACTTTTATTTTGAAATATAATGCTCAGCCGTGAACGGAAGTCCATCCCACTATTGAGCATACCCGCGATGTAAACAGTGTGGGTGTGTGTAAACACACGGACTTGAACTAGTCTTGAGTGGCTCCGTTTTACACATTTAGAAAAGGGAAATGAATTCACGCCAAAGCTTTTGCGTGTCTGCTGTCTGACTTTAACATTACACCGTTCGTAGGGCTGTGAAACTGACAGGTAGGCAGACAGACAGGCGGGCGGCGTGGAGAGTAACGCTGACGTTAAATTCTCACTGTGACCCTCATCAACACCACCTGGGTGCGAAGAGATGGCAGCAGCCGTGGATTCTCTTTTAAACCTGTGAGTTACTCTGCTCAGCTGATGTAAACATTATTATGCTTTGTAATGTTGGATAAGGGAACTGCACAGATATGAGTTTCCTTGCCGAATCAAAACAAATCTCCCCCCAGGAGCGCTGTGAGTGTGGCTCGGTATGCGGAGCAGTACAGCGACTGTATTAAAACGTTGCCATGTAGCGCCAAAGACACGCTGGTTCGGATAATGACGGCTCAGGGCTCCGTCACTGACTCCAACATCAGCCAGGTAACCTCACCGCTCCCTTACTGTCACTGCGCTGTGCTGCAGGAGGCTTTCTGCCGATGGCTAATTCACCACTGTCGTTTAACGATGAAGTCGGATGATATCATGCTGTTATCGCTAGTATCAGCAGATAACAGCTTAGTAAAATGTTCAGATTTGTCCGATATTTCAGCCGATATTTGATGGTATATTTATTATACTCTGGAAGAGCAGAACATTTGGGCGAGGCCGGGTTACTGTGCTAAAATATCTGCATTTTTGCATTTTACCGCATGTGTAACCCTCTAGAAAAATGTATTTCTTTGTAATTCCAGGTAGATCCTAGTTTCTACATCTAATAGAACATTTTCATTTATTTTTATTTATTGTTTTTATTATTTATATTTTGCTATTGTCATTATTTTATTTCAATTACTTAATATTTATATTTATTTATTATACATTTTTCTTGTTCACTTATAGTCTTGTTAGTCTTAATTTGTTTTAACTGATTAAATTTCATTTTAACTTTTTCAATCCCTGTTTAAATTTGCTTGGCTACATTGTAAATGTCACCCACAATGTACTTCAGAGTCGAAATTGTGGTTGGTTGATTAATTGATTGATTGATTGATTGATTGAGTAAATGTGTGTATTGTATGTGTATCGAAATCAGCCCACATTTCCCAAATTGATGCATCCCTAATTCATTTTCCATATGTGTATTTACTATTCAGCTGTACTGCTCTGAAGCACCTTGTCCTGTGTTTGCAGGTCCTGCATGCAGGAATCCGCTCACTGGACTTGCAGAACTGCACGATTTCAGACTCCGCACTCAAACAAATACGCTGTCCGCAACTAAGGACTATAATACTCACAAGATGTGTTCACATCACTTCAGAGGGTACATAAAATTAACGACTGTCCAATAGTAAAGTGCAGAATTATGTTGATTCTTCAGTTCAAGGCACAAATTTGTGATGGTATATTTGCTCTAGGTCTGGAGGCCTTGGCATCCCACTGCCCCTGTCTTCAAGTCGTTGATCTTACTGGATGTTCAGCTGTAACTGATTCAGGAGTTCAGGCTCTGGCCCGAAGCTGCAAATGGCTTGAGGTCATTTCCCTCATGGAATGCTCTGCAGTCAGCGATGTAGCTTTAATTGAAATAGGGGCCAATTGTAGGTTTCTGTACAGCATCTATTTTGGTGGGACGGAGGTAAGTAACATGCTTTGAATAGACTGAAATAAGACAGACTACTTACATTGTTTCAACTACAGTCAGATGCATGACATATACATTTTATTTGCACCCAGTAAACATTTTGATAAATGTTGACTGGGTGCAAAATGTTTACTGGGTACACTTTGTATCTTTTGATGTAGAGGTGTTGAGCATCTGTGATTTAACACAATTGGACTCAGTGGTTGTTCAAATTAAGATGTGTTCTTTCAGAGATTTTTGTCCAGTTTTGCTAGAATTAGATTTTGTTAGAAGTAGTACTGGCTTGACTTGGCTCGAAATGCTCCTAACAGGTCACTGATGCGGGTGTCATGGGTCTTGCAACTGGAGTATGCTGCCAAAGTTTAAAGGTAATGTATGTACTCATTATAGTGTGTTCATCAAATGCATTTTAGCATTTTTGGCCGCAGGCCCTTTAATCACTGAACAGCAAACAAAAGTCTTTGAAAGTGGCTGATATTGTCCTTTAGTTCAGTGCTTAGCATTGGTGTATTTTTGTCATTGCCAAATGAGAACATGGACTGGTCTTAGTAAGAAATGGACAGAGGAAATTATTGGCTATGATGATTCATATTTTAGTCTTCATTGAAAGGCCACAGTATGTTAGTAGTGTGATATAAATCCTGCTCTGAGAAATACCGTCTGAAGATGATGTTGGACCACATACTCCTCTTAAATTTGCTTCTTAATTTGTTTATTTCCAAACAGGAGTTACAGATGGTACGATGTCGTAACTTGACAGACAATGCTGTGGCTGCTGTTCTGTCTAACTGTGCCAACATCAGAATATTCAATTTTCATGGATGCCCACGTATTACAGGTATGTTGTGGGATTTAGTACCATTTAAGGCTAACAGAAAATGTATCTTCTTTAAAGTTGAATGACCTGCAGTATGTTTTTTTTTAAATACAGGTCACTATAACATATTTATTTGAATTCTCATTTAGATAAATCTAGGGAGGCGCTTCATAATCTTATTGGGCCAAATAAGATCCAGCATGTCTCCTGGACTGTGTACTGAGTAAGCATCTACTATGGGAACAATACGCATCATAATTAGCTCCTGGTTAAAAAAAAACACTGCTGAAGTTCTTTGTAAACACATGAACTTTCGTAGAGTCTGAGTTATGAGAAACATATGATACACATATGTAAACTGTTTTCAGACAAACCATTAATTATCTGCTCATCTTTCTAACAAGTCCTTATTAAGTCCATGTAGATCTGATGTCATTTCCATGATGTGAATATACTTAATATTTGTGAGTTTGTAAAACACTACATTTTGTATAGTTATTTACTTCACAATTCAGGTTGCTTAAAGTGTATATTTATTGTGTGAATTTAATTCTTTATAATGTCTATTTCTTAATGGAACCTCTGTAAATATTATCCAAGAAAGGCCAGTAAAAATGTTGGACTGTGGATCTTGTCTTGGATTTTACTTAGTGTAACAAACATGCTTTATTATAAGGGCATATGTGAGTTGAAACTGTTCTGAACTGAGGTGGAAGGACTGCTGCCCATTTAGTGACTCACTCCTACACCAGCTGTAACCTAAAGAAGGCAAATGAAGCCACTACATTTTAGCTGTCCTTGTATCTTGCATGCATTTTACTGGAATCCACCAGAGCACACCAAGATGCTTTTCCTTTGATCCTTTAATATGCTTTGTATCACCTCTTCAACAGTAATGGAGAGACATCTTGTGAGTTTGAGGGTAACTGTGACAAACCTTTTTCAGAAAATTAAAAAAGTTCTGCAGTTTTGTTCAAATTAAACTGCAGGTGTCAATAATTACAGAAGCTTTATACTTTATTAATTACTTTACTTTATTAATTTAAGTAATTTTTAATTTACATAATTTTAAATTCAAAGTACTGTTTGAGTTTTCAGCATGAATCAGAAATCATAATGCCTCTTACTTCCATTGCGTGACAAATTTCTCAGTGAAACACAGTATTGGGTCTCTGAGCTGGCTGAGCGTCTCTCTCAAGGTGGCGGTGAGGGTGTCATGTGAAACCTGATATTATTGGCTAAAATTTTTTTGCCTGCCCCTGCTGCATGATGACAACCAACAGCAGAGGATGTTCTAGAGGTGGGAAAAAGTCTGCACCTTTTGATGTTATGAGAAAGAAAAAACAATTTTGTCTTTTATATGACCATTAATATGACCACAGATTTTAACTAACAAGTTAAAAAAAGTTCTGGTTAACAAGGATTTGTTCAGCAAAAAAATTATATTTACCTAATTTTACATTTACCCCAGATGTAGTCGATCAGCCAAGAAATGTTTGGAGTCCAAATTTTGCTTCTTTAGAATTGGAGCCATGAGGCCACTGTTGCTAACAAACACTAGAACTCAATAGTCACCCAAATTGCCCAAATTATTTCTGTAAAAATGCATCCCATAAGCTTCTCTCATCAGGCTTAGACCACATCCAGGTCTTCATTAAGCTCCCACAGATCTGCCAGTGTTTAGGACTCACATTATTGTTAACTATAAAAATGAACAGAACTTCACTGCTGCCGGCAGCCATTTCAGAGCCAGGGCTGGTATTCACACAGCAGGACAGATCTTTAATCAAATTCCTCTGTATTTATGATGACTATTATCACAAATACTCTCTTTATTGATATGATTCTCGATCCTGAGGTGGTTTGTGAACACTCTTCACAGCACTTCGCTGTAAATGGTCTTTAGAAAAATTGTGTAAATTAGACTCTGTTGTCTAAAGGTGCTGCCTGCAGTTTTGTTCATTGTTATAGGTCACAGTAAGTCATAGTGTATCCTAAACCACATAGACAAATCTGTGCAACTTTAATGGAGATGTTGATGCGGTTTGAACAGGATGAAAGAAGTTTGATGATGGTGACACTATTTTGGTGACTACTGAGTTGTAGCACTTTTAGCCTTACTGCATCAGTTCTAAACTGAAGAATCAAACTGTGGACTCTAAACATGTCTTGGTCAATCAACTACATGTGGTAAGTGGAGAATTGTGTAAATTAGATTTTTTGCTGAACCATTTCTTTCAGGTATTGTACAAAGTGTAAAAGGCAGAGAGATGAATGTGTTCAGAAATAGTGTTTCTGTGATCTTTCAGTCAGGTCTGTAACACCACACTGTGCTACTAGTCAGTCCATAATTCTCCTCTTTAACTGAGTCAGGCAATTCAAACTGAGCCTGTTCATACAACAGTTTTTTGATGCTGTGGCTCTCAAACTGAGCTCGTCCTGGATCTCCAATAAGGATCTGCGTTCTGTGAATCTTAATGCACATGTGCAGCCAATTATGTAAGCAGTCTGCAAGAGTCTCATCATAGAACATGTCTCCCAACAGGATGAGGTCCCAGTTCTCTGGTTCAGAACCGATCATGTTCTCAGTCACACAAGGCAGTGGCTCCAAACCATTCAGTTCACAGTTCATCTGAGTGGCAATCGCAGCAACTACAACAACAAAGATTAATGGTCATTTGGAAGTTTGAACTTTTTTGTTAGCTGTGCAAAATGATGTCCAACATCCTAAACCTTCCACAATATTATACACATAAAGATTTCTTTATTATTCTTTATTATTGGTTGAGGAAATTTCCAGCATATCTCACCTGGATCGATGTCATTGGCCACCACATGAGAAGCACCGCTGAGTTTGGCAGCAATAGCTGAAGCTCCACAGCCACATCCAAGATCCAGCACTCTTTTACCTGCTGATACTTCTGGGAAGTTTAGAAGATACCTGAAAGTAAATATCACAGTAAGATGCAGAGGCGGGTGATAAATAGTTACATGTACTTGTTTACATGCACTTGTGTAAAACATTGATAGATTTGTACTTTCCCGATTATTTTCAAATGATGATACTTTTACTTCTACTGAGGTACATTTGTGAGTTAAGTAATCTATTTTTCACTCAGTTAAACTGAAATTTTGTATTGTTAGTTTAATAATATGAATAAAATGTTACAAAAACAAGAGAAGACTGAAGTAAAATGCAACAAACAGTCTTATGACAGATTTTAATTTAGATTAAAAGAATTAGTTGTCTTTTGGCCAAACTTGCAGACAGTCTTTTACATACAGAACTGACAGTGATGTATCATTCATTTTTAATGGCCTCCCACATTTGGTCAGCGGTGGAAAAACTTCAGTCCAGTTAATTTGTTAATGTAAGACCAGATGTTCTCAATGTAGTTAAAATCTGGACTTTGGAACAATTGGCCCTTCTCTCCAGTCATCTCTTGTGTGCAAGATCATTATCTTGATTAAAATATCTTCTAAATGACCATCTTCTGGACATGTTTTCCTTTCTGGAACGTTGTTGATGCTCTGAGGTGGTGACACAGTACTGACAAGAGAAATGGATCCATAAGGCCCAGGGCTGCCTCCTTATTTTACTGAAATAACAATAGTTTATCTTGGGTTTGGCTACTCTACCCACCTCTGGTAAGAATTGGGTGAATTTGCAAGCTTTTGGATTGAGTATTGTAAAACTTAAACCGTCCAAAAAGCCCTGCAACACATTAGGGGCATAGAACTGTCTTAAACTGTGCAGTAGTTAGACGTGTGTGAAGCTGGCAGTATTACCTGGCGAGTGCTTGTCCCCCAGGCCAATATATAGCCCAAAAGGGTTCAGGAAACGGCCACAGTTCTGGTCTTTCAGTCCAAAAACGGCACTTTGCTGTAAAGAGTCTTAAGGAGATTTCTGGTGTTAAACTTCGACCTCTGACTATCTCTGTGTTTTCTGAGATAAAATGCATTATATCCTGTTCTGATTTACAGTGCTGCACATACTGTCGGACACAAAACAGCTTTCTGAGATGCGCGTCTCTGAGGCGTAAAGACGTAAACAGTGCTCGGTTCATGGCAGTGAACTCACAGATACAGCGGATCTATCTGAGCGGGTTTAAGTAGAGAACGAGTAACACGAGCTGACACAATAACTCAGACACCAGAGCGGCCGTACATTTTTAAGTATACACTAAAGCTATGTAAAATACAACACACACTCATCTTATCTTATTCATTTTGTTATGAGGGGACAGATGTAAGTCTGGACTCCACATACTATGTAAGTAAGCATGCGCAAAACCCACTGTTGCTACAGCCGATCCAGGCGCGTTCACCTGCAACGCTTCCTGCGCAGATTCCTCGAGCACTGACTACATACTTGTAAACAAGCGCCGCCTAGCGACACCTAGTAGCAGCGCACGAACAGCTCCATTTGATCTCCGTAGTTTCCAGCTATATGTATCTGCAGTCCGGAGAACCAGTGGGCGTAACGAATGGGCGGAGACACTGTCAACCATTTCTTGCATCGGCCAATCATATAACAGAGATGGACTGTCAATCAAAACTTGCATTGGCCAATAACAAGAGTGAATTACTTGTCTCTCGTTTTATGCATCAGCCAATGGTTTGAAGGAAAGTGCAAAAAGGCGTTCCATACTGTTCAGGCACGCAGAAGTGGGAAGACAGTTTAAAGCTTTGAAGTTGCCTTAAATATCACCTAATTTCTTATTTCAGATCAAGACATTATTATAACTATTGTTTCACTTACACACACACACACACACACACACACACACACACACACACACACACACACATATATATATATATATATATATATAACATCTTTACTGAAGTATTTCTATTTTGGGCGACTTTTTACTTTAACTCCACTACATTTAAAAGTCACGTCTTATTTGTCAATCCACTACATTGTGTGAAATCTGTCGTTCTTACTTTTGTCTTATGTGTGCATGTGTACATGCTTATATGTACATGCTTAGGTCTCTTTGGCAGGTAAAGCAGGACGGAGTTCATGCAAACAAAGACCATCACACATAACAGCATTAGAGAACTGATAGAACATACTCTTCCTGACTTTGTGGGTAAATACATGAACACAATATAGAAATATGTGCAGTTCTGACTGGCGTGTCTTTTTCTGAGTTTATACAAACACTGACTCCACCTAAACTTTGCTTGTTCACAAAAAGTGATTTCATAGCCACTTGGTTCCTAATGGAAACTGTTTACCTTCAGTGTTTTGTGCTTATGATAATTTTAGGTCTCGGATCTCAGCATTTCCCCTTCTCACGACATCTAGATTACACGTTAAGGTTTGGCTGCTTCTGCTTAGCGACATCATCACTTAATCCATTTCTCGTCCGTAACTCAGCCCTCCCCTTTAGGGCTCCGGTCTGCAGCAATACCCTTCTCGTAGTTTCAGCCCTCGGAGTAGTTGACCAAGCCTGCTATCGTGTTGTAGCTGCTGATAACTTTCTCAGTGCATACATATGTTAGCATCCCAGCTGCATAGGATGAAATAAGGCCATTCAATTACTGTTTTTCCCCTTTCTGGATATATCACTCTTATTAAAAGAATATCTTGTTCATTAAGGATAATCATAATCGTGAAACACACACAAACGCAGCATTTTTCTTCATATCAGCTGACGGTCTCGGTAATCACTGTGCCTTATTAACTTTGTTCAGTTTTGCTCTCGATCCATTTTATTTTAACTGTATTTTTGTTTTCCTTTTTTTTACCCTTTCTTTTTTTGTTATAATATTCTATCACTTTTCTTTTAAGATTTTGGCACGTGAGCAGACATGTAGTACTACTCATAGTTAGATAATCAATGCATACATATGGTTGTACTTTTGGAAGATAGCTTTTGTGGTTTAAATGTAAAACACAGCTTTACTTGAACACTCCCATCAATTAGTCCATCAGCAAAACAATGATGATCAGTGTTACATTTTGCATTATAAAGACTGAAAATTTATCAAAGTACTTGATTAACTTTGGCTTTATCATACACTTTATTACATTTTCCTTTCAGTTCATTGGTTTCATCCCTCGGATTAGCTGACCTAGGCCTGCTATGTCTCTTGTATTGTAGCTACTGTTATCTTTCTCAGTGAATTCACAAAGTAGCTCATGAGCTAGATGGAATGAAGAAGGAGTCCTTGAAAAATACTAAAATGCACACATGCCTGACTCAAATGCTCCGTTCATTCACTGCAGACAATGTGAAGAAATAAAACAGCACACACAACCTTTAACACAGTGAATGTGCAGTCACTTCTAAATCTGCCAGTTAATTGTTAAAGCATGTCCTGTCCGCCATTACCCTGCACCCCTAGGGAAAAGTGTTCTATAAAGCACCAAAAAAGTTCTTTCACAACAGTGTGACTTTTTATGGTGCTAGATAGAACCATTTAAAAAGTTTTTTTAAAGAACCATATACATCACGGAGAAGAACCACTTAACAATGCAAAGAACCATTTACATTCACATTGCATTCAAATGGTTCTTTGAGTTGTGCTGGTTGTATGTATAACCAACCCTTACTAAAGAATGCTTAAAGAACCCTGTTCTTGAAGGGCATGTCGTAAGTGACTTTAAGAAACAGCAGAAATCATTTCTTCTTCTGGCTGTCCATTTCCTTCACTCACAATTTTTAAAATCATGTCTGATTCGTGGAACCTGTTATGGAGCTCCAGACTGTATCTAGTCTGTGACTAAATGTAAAAGCCTTATGAGGGTTGTGAAGTGAACTGGTGAGACAGTCCTGGCAGTTATGTGTGGAACCCTGCCCACTTCCACTATCAGTGTGCTGAGCTCATGAGCTTATTATTCACGAGGAACGCTGGACACTCGCTCTGTGTTCTGTATATGACCATCACCATGGATACCTTCCGCCTAGGCTGGAGCTGCAACAGCCTGTTTGCAGAATGAAGAGTGTGCAGCGACATAAGCACTGAATGACAGAGACAGAGAGAGGAAACCTGTTGTACCCAAAGACAGCGACGGTAAACACTAACCTGCTGCTCAGGTTTGTTCATTTTCTCACAGGATATGTGAAATTGCCATTTTGAAAGGATGTCATTAATCTTTTATTGTTATTCATTTGTATCATGTATTTTTGTTTTAGGTTTGGCAACAGCAAAGTAGTTTCTGTCTGGATTAACCTGTATCCGTCATGTAAGTCAACAGCCAGCTTCATGTCACTTATTCGAGACAGCTGACAGTTTTCTGTACAGATACACTATTGTGCACTTAACCTTGCTGGAGGAAGACAACAAACAAACAAGGTATTCTTTTAATACCATTGTGTTATCTTGCATGCTGGGTGTGAGAATTCTCTAGGTTGTGTGAAATATTACAGGGCAGAGATGCACTGGAAAAACAAGTGACCAACTTTCCAACTGCAATGACAACAACTTCCAGTGCTCTTCAAACAGCTGCCTCCAGACATCCTACCAAGCACAGCATATCTTACTTTCATTCAGATCTTCGCCAAGTGGAGCGGTGTGGAAAGATCCTTTACCCCAATGGCAGCCAGGGACAACTGGGAATGGGACCACAGCCTGAATCCTCACAGCCTCCGGAATGCTTTCAGGTCATTAAGCCCTGAGTTTGATTTGTGGGGGAATGCCCTCTTTAAATCTCGGGTAAGTACTGAATAGGCACCTAGACCTCTAGTTCAAAATCTAGACGGCTGATGTGTAGAAATGTAATATGTTCCGAAAAAAGGAACTGAATTAGTGTGCATGATATAAACAAAAAAGCAAATGGGAAAAATGCCCATAGTTTGTATTGCATTCTTTCTTTAATTGCGTAAAAAAAGTTTTGTTATAGCCTTTCTACTCTCTAACCGAGTTCTATTGTTCTTTAAGTCCTCAGCATGGAGTTGTATGGGTTTATCTGGATCAGGTCACCGCTCCAAAATCAGCACCAGGTCAGCAATTTTGTCCTGTGATATCCAACAGAAAGTAACTTGATCAATTTCAACACAGTTTTATGAACTGTCATCAAGTATTTAGTTGGCTTGCAGAGTTCAAACATTTGTCAGTGTTTGCTGCACTCATAAAAAAGAGGTGCCAGAAAGGGTTTTTTGTTTTAGAGTTTCTACAGTGTTATGCTGTAGAACTGGTGTTACCAAGCCTCATTGGTGTTACACATAAGAAAGGTAACACCAGTGACATTTTTGATGAAAAATGCATTTTACAAAATGGCTGCTACAGAGCATCAAACCTCATGTTGTCAGTCATGGAATATCCACTAAAATATGTAATTTAATCCATTTGTATTCTATTTTTTCGCAATTACCTAAGAATAAAGTAGGTCATACCAGTGACTTCAACTAAAAGCTTCATATGAAATCATGAGCTAAATGAGAACATTTCTGATAACTGAAAAGAGACAGTGGACTCAGAAAACAGTGGACTCAGAAACTAGTCAAGTCAAGTGATGTCATCGGTGTGATTTTTATTTCAAAATAAGAGATTTTTTATTACGCAGTAACACCAGTGACACGACTCCTGGGGACAACAACTTTCATTATATATATTTATAATATTTATTTGGCATTTGTTTTCTTTATGTTGTTTCATTTATATATTCCATAGTCATGTATAGATTATTGTAGTTAAAATTGCAGAAAAATGTGTTTTTTTTCCTCAAAATATGGCCTCACCCTTTACACATGACTGTGGGGACAAGCACTTCCGTCGTGCTTGGAATTCTAGATACTTGTTTTAAAAACCAATATTGCTAAATTGATGGCTGAAGAAGGTGTAATCGTTAAAATAACTCATTGTTTTACTTTAAAATTGTAACCCTAACACGTTTTTTTAAGCATAACATATCTGTAAACGCACAAAAGAGACACAAAAAACGTTTCTGTAGAATGACCCATTTAAAGAATCCTTGTTGTAAATGGGGTAGGTATGTGAGTGTGAGGAACCTTTTTAAACTTTAAAGAACCTCCACATAAAGTAGTTCTTTGTCTGTGTCTATAGATCTTCTTAGAACTATAGAACTGTGGCACCTTTATTTTTTTAGAGCGTTCCTCCGTCACTCATTATGTCATTTAGCAAACCATCCTGTTGTTTTAGCTCTGTTGGCAGCCAGTGTGGGATGAAACAGAGTGAATCGGCTGGCTTGAGAAGATGGCAGTCTGCCTCTCGTCTAGCACCCGAGGGTGCTCCTCAAGCCCTCTCTTCTCAGGGTGTTGAACTGCGAGCTGCGCTGGAGGAGAGCAGCACAAGGAGGGCAGAGCTGGTCCAGAAGCTCCGGGAGGCTCATGGACGTCTGGATGCCCAGACTGACCTCCTGAAGGCTAAGGAGACCCAGCTTCTGCACAGCCAGAGCACCACTCAGCTGCTGGAGCTTAAGCATAAGGTCAGTACTGGGGAGGCTGACTTTAACAAGACTATGAGGCCCCTTTAGTGCTAGACTAAAACACTCATTGTTTAAAGCTGATTCTCAGAAGTCCAGTATTACTTTTTGAATTTTTTTTTTTTAATACCTTATTTTTTTCTTTCTTTCTTTATTTTTTTGGAGTAGAAAACTAGAAAAATGACTAATATGTCTTTATTATTACTTGTTTTTCATATTGAATCTTTATTATCATATTTCAGGATTAAAAATAATCGTAAGTCTAGGGTTCAAGATGAAATGTACCGGTCAGTATTCACTCCCTTTGTGTAGGACCAGTGTACACAGAGTACCTTTCAAGAATGTTTCATTAAATTCTTTAGCCTCTCATTTCTGCATGGCTTCTCCCCCACAGCAGCTGACAAAGGCACTGAGTGCTCTTGAGGAGGAGAAGGAGGCAGCTCAGCTAAGCCGCTTTGAGGAGAGCCGTCGCCGGTCAGAACTGCAAGAGAAAGTAAACATGCTAGACATTAAAAGAGAGTCTACTACATTACCTCTATACTGAGCAACTGAATGATTTACAGTCCACAGTGATAATACCCAGTGTCTTAGTAGCACTTATAGTAGTAGCAGTAGCAGTAGCAGTAGCAGTAGTAGTAATAGTAGCAGTAGCAGTAGCAGTTGTTCAGTAACCGTTAAAGAAAAAGTTTGATTTTTGTTTGAGTATATGTGTATAAAATGATTATTATGTGTGCATATGAATGAAGGGTGGTGCAGCTGGAGATGGACTTGTTGAAGATAAAATCTAGCCTGGGGAGAAGGAACTCTGATCAAAGCTCAACATCACAAACAAACCCACAGCTCAACAAGACAATGCCTGTAACAAAAGATGACTTCCTCAGAGAGGTAACGTTGTTCAGGTGCTATTGAAAGAAAAGGGGAAAAAAAAGAGTAATTGATTCGTACTGTCCTCTCGGTGAATCCTATATCAAAGCCAATGTGAAAACGTTTAAAAAAATTTTTTTGGGATTCATGATGATATCAGAATCAGATTTTTTGCTTAAAAATGATTGCCACTGGGCAGATGTTTAGATCTGGCAAATATTTCAAAACAGTTTTTGATTACATATTTATTGTATTCTGGAACAGAATATTTAGGCAACGCTGGAAAACTATGCTAACATTGGTGCATTTTATTCATTTTACTGCTTTTGTAATCCTGCAGAAATAAATGTTATATTTCTCTGTAAAGCTAATATAGGTACAACTTTACATTGCAGAATATTGGAACCTTTGGCCCCCAATTCAGTATCAGTTCATCCCCAATATTTTGTTTACATTTGACACATTTCCACATGTACAAAATACTCAAATGGTGCCTCTTGTACGATCTTCTCAAATCTCTCTAAGAACTGTCTCAGGAAAGCCTTTATGATTTTATGTCGAAAATTATAAGCAGATTTTGATATGTTTGATAATTTGAACTGTGTGTGGAATGACAGGGACAGAAACAGACAGGGAAGGAGATGAAGAAACTCAAAGAAGCTCTCAAGGAGGCTGAAGAGAGAGCAGAGACCTTGGAAGCTGAAAGGGATCATGCTTTAAAGCAATTCTATTCCTCCAAAGAGGTCAGTCAGTTATCTTTAAGCATACTGTTTACTAGTGTAATTAGTTTACTTAAAAATTCATTAAATTACATTTATTAGCAGTAATGAGGAGGAACATGTTCAATAGTGAATATTTATAAAGATATTTTATATATTTTTTTATTTTATAAAATAAAAATGTGTAAACATCTCTAGTAATGGCTGTTTAATTCCTTCTCATTGTTTTTGTTGCAGGGTCACCACAAGACATTGAACCAGGCTGACGAGCTGAAGCAGAAGCTGAGCACATCCATGCAGGCCCAAAGCAAGCTGCAGGAACAGCTCAGTGAGAGCCGAAGCCGCCTGGGCCAGCTGGAACTGGTGAGATCCACGCCCAAGCAACACGTTTGTAAATGGTGTTTTATATTTCACATACTTTCCCCTCTATGCTTTAACAACTTTCCCCAGGAAAAAGACCTGCTCTCCACCAAAGCACTGCGATTAGAGGACAATCTAGAGGACCTGAAAGTGAAGCTGTCTGCAGCTTTAGCTGATAAAGACCGACTGGTGCAGGTACATCCAGTGCTCTTAGGACATGTAGTTGCTTTAAGACTACACAGGAAGCATGACTTCCCTTAAACATTTTATCATAGCGTGGCACTAAATGGTTTAACAAGCTATTTTACCTAGAAAATAGATACTCAAAAGTTTGGAATCAATGTCTTTAATAAAACCATTTGATCTCAGTTAATATTTCTAATACGATAGTCTTGTGAAACCTCACAGATTTTGTAGGCAACAAAAAATGCCCAAAAACACAAAAGAAAAAACACAAAAGATTTTAGATGTGTGTATAATATGAAGAATTAAGTCAGAATAAATTAATATCCAAAATGTCTCACGTGTTGATCAAATCTCAAGGCAGATTTGCACTATTGCATAAATCTACATAACAAATTACTCTTTTTAAACTTCACTTCATAATATCATGTTGTTCCCAGAATTCTTAAAACATTGAGTTCACCTCAAAAAATACCTTTTGGTATGTAGATTATTTTTTTAATCTACATTTTAGAAGTTATTATTAAATATAGATATAACTTTATGACTATGACAAGTGACTCCAAACTTTTGAACAGTAGTTTATGAGTGCTTAGTCTTTTTGCCATTAGTTTATCGCCAGCTGTGTTCCCCTGTGCCAAAAAGCATCAACCACCACTGTTTTTTAGGTACATCGAGTTCCTATTTGGGTAAATTATACATGGTTTAATAGATGGCTACATTTATCTACAATAGAAGCAGACCAAGCCTTGTTGGGAATCCATAACGTCATCCACCATTATATCACAATCTCAAAACAAAAGGTGCTTTTGTACTGATGTGCATGTAGGAAAAGGCTGACCTGCATCAGAGGACCCAGAGTTTGAAGCTGCAGCTGCAGAGAGCCCAGCTGGGCAGAGAGGGATTCACTGAGCAGGTGTGTGAGCTACACTCAGAGCTAACTCAGGCCAAGAGCGAGGCCAGCAGACAACAGCAGAGCACCTTACTAATGAAGGAGGAACTACATTCAGCCAAAGAGGTCAGTCTTCCACCAGACTCACCCCATATCTACACACTGGCCTGTTCTTAAAGTGCCAGAGTGTCACTTTAATGGAAAAGTAGTTTTGCTTTGTGTGCAACAACTTAAATTTCACATCCTGTAGATCCTGAGTTCATTGATGTAACACCTTCAAACACACAGTCAGCAATTTTCAAAACTAAATAGCCATCATTTCTTAAGAACATTGGCTTGGTGTATGTTCAGTCAGTGAGATAAGAGACTTACTTACTTCGCAGGCTGAAGATTCTCCACAAGGGGGAGCTTTCAGCACTCAGATACCTTTTGGTGCTTCATAGGAGCAGTGCTTTGCGTCAAAAGCTGTTTTCACATATGAACTTTGGAAAATGTCCGGATAATCAGGTCTGGATGTTATCCGGAGTTGCCCTTTCACACATGTAGGGTGCAGCCAGAGTTTTTACGTGTCAGACGCTTTCTCACTACAGGACACGTTCTGGTGGTTTGGGTGGAGGGCAGTGCCTGGGTATCGTGTGCAGGGGGCATGGAATGACACAAAATGTACGTTGTGGACATCACAGTGTTTTGTTTAAAGTACATCAAATATGGTGAACAAGGCTACCAACTCATCCGTGAAAATATTTGCATCAACATTAATACAACATAAATTTAATAATAATATCCCAGACGCCCACTGTAAATTCTCTGGAAAATTACCTGCTCTATTCACACATGGCTTCACCTGGACATTATCCGGACTTTGTACAAGGGGGCTGGCAGGAAAATGTCCTATACAATTTGGACATTTGCGTTCACACATACAGCTCCTCTGGGTAATGTCTGGCAAGGTTCTGGGTCACTGTGCATGTCTGAAAGCGGCAAATAACACTATGTGTCCTTATGCATTGTGATGGACCCTCTTCCAAGTCTTTAGCGCATTAGTGCTTGACTGAATCAACCTCCACTCAGGTGAACGAGAAACTGTCAGCAGACCTGGCTGCAGCCACAGAGAGGCTTCAGGTGACGCTAAAGCAGCTACATGAGCTGGAAGCGGAGAAGCTGATCCACACCAATCAGATTGCAGCTCTAGAGACTGAGCGCTTGCAGCTAATTGGAGAGAAGGAGGAGCTGATAGATGTATTTGATCAGGGGAATCAGGAAGAACTCAGGGAACTGAGGGAAAGATGCTATCAGCTCAGGTGAGCTTAGGTCAGACTTACAAAGTTACAAAATAGTTGACAGTATTTACTCTGTTGCGTACAATAGACTATGTAAACAATAACTTTCATTTCATGTAAGTAGAGAATTAAAGGAAACTTTGGAGCATGAGAAGCAAGACCTTCAGACGCACAGCCAGGGCCTGGAAAAGAAAGTGCAGAACATGGAGGCGGAGTTTGGCTGTAAGGAGGAGGAGCTACAGCGCATGGAGGTGGAGCTAGAAAAAGAGAAGGAGGAGCTGAAGAAAGTAGCAGCTCACTGGAATGAGCGATGGCTGGATGTGGCGATGACACTGCAGTCCACTCAGGTGCAACTTGAAGAGACCAAGAAACAACAGCAGCATACTGAGGCTGTAAGCACTGTTCACAGATTTAATATTACCCAAGGCAGCAGGAAATGGAGGCTATGTAGAGTCACAAGTGTCCAAAAGCTGTTTCCCCATCATCAAAACATATTTAACCGGAATTCACTCTTTCATAGCTCTGAAGCTTTGCTTTTCACAGTTCAAAAGTTTCCTATTGTGTGTTCTCAGCTGAGGGAAGAGGCATCAGGAATGGCCAGCATGGTGGAGATGCTTGAGACACAGCTGAAGGACAGCCAGTGAGTGTCTGTGTGAAGGATGTTGTGGTTGTCTATGTGGGAAGTGAAGATGTATGTGTTTTCACTGACATTATATGTGCCTCATAAGGGATCAGATCCAGAGCTTGCTTGAACAGAAAACACACCTGGAGACAGAGCTGTGCAGAGTGAAGGTAAGCAATCTGACCGTCACTATACATACATAAGCGTATCATCACCATCCAAACAAAAAAGTATTTCTATTTTAAATTTTGTTTTTAGTTTTCTAGATCATCTGAAAACAACAGCTGTCCTTTATATTGTGTGAACATTTTATGCTGAATGTACTGATAGAAATGCTCCATAACTATTTAGAATGAAATTCCTTTACATTAGCTTGCATTAAAAGTTAAGAATGTTCTTCGTACTTCTGTAAAGTTACCATTTTGGAGATTTTTATATATGTCACTTCAAGGGGTGTGAATCTCCGCTGTCACAATTTTATTTGAATATTAATTTGTAGGAAACACATATCATGAAATATTAAAGTTTGATATGATTGGGAATTATTATTTTTAAAAACACCTTATACACAATGTGACTACGATTAATATATTTGTAGAGTAGACAACACAAAACAGTTTTTTGTATGCATTGTACATTCCAAAATCAGTGCAGTTGAATCTCCACCCTCAGACTGATACATTTGTACACCCTAGTCACTAACATTGCATAATGAGGCTAGATTGTAATAATCAATCAGTAGAATTTCCCATATGCCTATTTATGGATTTGTCTGTAAAATGTATGATATAAAACTGGAGCAGTTTGTATGTTTCCATTTAGAAAGAAGCTGGTGCTTTGGAGCGAGTGGAACTAGATGCCTGCAGGCAACAGCTAGATCTGGAGCGAAGCAGAAGCCAGAGTCTACAGCAGAGACTGATGGGAAACCCTGTATGTTCTGTGCTGTCTTCATCACAATTTAACTTTACTGTCATTACACCGGAACAGAATTACAAAAAAGATTTCTCACTGTTTTCTTTCAGTTTTCTCCAGTGCAACATGCATAGTGTATGCAACAATACAAAAGTGCAAGGTGAAGCAGTCTAGACAAATGCTAAAGTGCAGGACACTCTTGTCTTCTGTTTTCCATGAGAAGTTTTCGCACCCCATCACCTCCCCATTGGTTCCCTGTTCTGCAGTTCGATCCCTTAGTTCTCCCTCAGTTCATCAAAGGGATGCCCAGTCTTTTTATTTGACTGGGCATCCCCTTGATGAGCACAAGCCACTGTATAACTCCAGCTAAAGTTCTGAGTTCTCTCCTCTTCTGCAGTCAAACAAGTGTACTTCAACTGTATAAAGTCATTGTGTAAATTTAGTAGTAGAGTGCTGGACCCATTTTAAGAGTTTGTGGAACTGTAATGGTGGATGTAGCTGTCTCTGGAGGAGATGGATGGAGAGCTGGTGCAGGTGAAGGCTGAGCTGCAGAAAGTGTGGGACATGCTGAAGAGCCGAGACACTGAGCTGGAGGAGCAGCAGCAGGAGCTACAGTCTGCTCGGGGCCAGGTGAAGACTACCTACCTACTCAGCCCTTTAATTCTAAGTGATAAGGAAGGTGTGGAATGTGTAAGTGAGAAAAATATTGTGCTGAATGTGAAAGTTATCCTCTAGTTCATACCTACTATAATAGGTGACCCAGCAGAGCACTGAGGTACAGAGACTGGAGCAGCAGCTGGCAGAGAGAGAGCAGGAACTGAAAGAAAGGTGTGTACGTATTGCCAGTGTTTCCGAATCAGAAATATTTGCAGCGATATATTCTACAAAATCAGTGTGATATTTTCTCATCCTTGCCATATTGTGTTGTCTATTTCTACAGCAGATGTTTTCTATTATTTGTGTTTTGGTTTGCCTCTCCAGGGATCTTACTCTAAGGAATCTAATGAGTCAGAAAGATGCAGAGAAAACTGAGGCCCAAAACAAGATAACTGCTCTAGAGAAAGAGGTACAGTATTAACAGTGATGTTTCCTCAGTTGAAAGACTGGCCTGTCTAATAGTACGTAGTACAACATCGAGCTTATTCTTCATCTCCCTCCTCATCCAGCTTGCTGGACTTAAAGCGCTGAAGATAGACCAGACACTGCGCACTGATCAACCAGACACTCAGGGCATCAACTCCCTGAAAACCCAACTAGATGGTAACTGTTCAGGCTCTACTCTCATAAACATATATAAGGTAAGGGTGACACTCTAGACTGAAACAGTGACTGTGATGTGGTTTTGCATTGTGGTGATAGAGTGCAGGAAGACATCTGAGCAGCAGAAGCAGGAAAGAGATCTGGCTCTACAGAGACAGCATTCACCTAAACATCCCCAACAGGTATGTTTTCTTTCAATATTCATCTGCCAAAATATGTCTGTCTCTAAGGTTTAGATGGCTTACTTTTACTTCTTCTTTGTCCAGGTTAATGAATGGCAAGGATCACCATCGGTGACCAGAAAAGCAAAATCAGTCAGCTTTGATCTCATAGACCCTGACCAGCAGAGGAGGCTAATCACAGAGCAAGTAAGTAATGCACAGTGCAGCCCATAAGTAACTGGACAGTGCTCTTTTTTATTGTTTTGGCTCTGTACTCCAACATATGGGACCATACTGCTTTGTCCAAATAATGCAGGCATTTACATTTGTTTAGCAAACTGTAACCAGATGTAAATTCTAAGGATGTGATGATTTCAAAACGTATAGAAAAGTCAAATTTGAAATCGGAATTTAAAACTGTATCACCAATATTCCCTTCTTCTTCTCTCATTTGCTTTCATAAAAACCACCATCAGTAATCAGAACTAGGCAGCTGGGTGCGCTCTTTCAGAGTGAAGCGGACAGGTAGTGGGCTTATGTTATGGACACACTCATACTCAAAGGACTAGGCTATGACTTTTTTTATGAAGAGCTTATAAATTATACAGTTTGTGAACCTGGGGGGGGTTGAAATCTTTTAGTTATCTGATCAAAACCTGTGGGTTATATTATTAGAGCTCTGTAGAATCAAGATTACAGTCTTTTCTGTGGTTCTATTTAGACGTGAAATCTGGCCAATAAAAAAGCGGGATAGAAAAAATACTGATGACTTTAAACTTTAATATTGGTGAAGACTTTTGAGAGATTACACTTCAAGATATGTGTATTGTAACACCCCTAGTAAATTTAATCTAGAATTCCTTTAGGCCTTTTAGCTTTTTCATTCAAGAATCAATGGTGCACCTAGATTCAGCTAGGCAGAAAACAACAGAAAAAACAGTTGTGTGCTGGAGCCAAAAAACAAAAATTGTGTCTCTGCCCAACTACTTATGGACATCACTATTACGAACCACCTTATGAGAGAATATGTAGTTCCTTTATATGATAAATGTGAACCTCCTTCATGACACCTGACCTGTGTCCATTTCTGCTACAGCTGAAGAGTCTGTTTAAGGAGAGAGAGCAGCTGGGTGATAAGGCGTCTCCAGTGCTCCAGAGAAGAGCTGCCTCAGTGGTGGACCGTGGCCCAAAGTCTAAAGCCATCAAGGTAGGCATTTCTGCTGAGTGCACCTTTTGCTGCATTGTTGTTGCTGCATTGTTGTTGCATTTGTAGGTCCAATCATAGCACAGCACACCAAATAATGTGTTGGATTTGATTGATAATGACAGGTAATAATGCAGATAAAGGCCTATAATGGAACACTATAATGGTTTTACAAAACTCTTCCCAAATCAGAATTCCACAGACTTACTGAGCAGTGACAGGCAGCTGGCGCACATGCAGGATCTGGGCGTCCAGCAGGGGGCAGGAGAGAGCACTGCAGCCAATGCAGTGGGAGCTCAGTCTGAACAACCGGCCTCTGAGAAAGGATTGCAGGGGCGGCTGAGACAGGAGGTCAGTTGTGAGTAATGGTGATAATGATGATAATGATTAAAGTGAGGATGATGATGATGATGATGATTTTTAAAGAACTGGGAAATTCTGGGAAACAGTTAGCATGCTGAATTCACAGAATTGCTCATTTTTCACTTTATTTTTTAGAGAATTTAGGGAAATTATTGTGCACACATGAGCAGGACATGTAACACAAATCACAGACAGACACTGATTTATTTGAGCTGTCCTAATACTGTATTATGTCTTAATCAAAGTGCTGGTGTGGAGTGGGTGGGTAACTGATGTTTAATGCCGTGTGATGATAACCGCACAGTCTCACATAAGCGGCTTTAGTGCCCCTGGATAAAACATAGATAGCCCCCCCCCACACACACCACCACCAGAGGAGCATCTGGAGCATCTAGTACTAAAGGGTCATTTCATCACTTCTGCACTTAGATTGCCGGATGTGAGTTGATTGTTTTAGCACCTGTCCCTTAGTAACAGAGTCAGCTTAAGGACAATGAAAGCAACATCTCTGCTGTATCCCTCCTCAGCAGATGTCAGCACTGAGTGTGGAAATGGAAGAGCTTAAAGACAGAAATGAAAATCTCCTCAAAGGTGACGTGTGAAGTCCAATCACCATGAGAAATCATCACCATTTCAGTGGTCCTTGATCATGAATCACTCACTGTGAAATTGTGTGGACAGCACTGTGTTTGTGTGTCTGTGTTTGTCCATTTCAGTACCACTGAAGTACGGAATACAGTTGAATTTAATACAATATGAATTTTGCCAATTTAATGTTCTCTGCTTTACAGCCAAGCTGAAGGCTCAGCAGCAGATCCAGGATGTAAGAGTGACAGAAAGGTGTAGAGAGGACACTGTTGCTCCCTGCTTGCCAGGCTTCATTGATGAGGAAGAGGAGGCTCTGATGACGAATCCACCCCCATTATGTGTGGATGGAACATTCCTAGCCAGACAGGTGGAGGTGTTTGACTCAGAGATGGAGGATGAGGAAGTGGTGCTTGACTAAATGAATGTATTATTTGAGTTTATAACCTGTGTGGAAACCTCACTCTGTGCTGTGTGTGATTAACTCAACAGATGCACTTTAAAGGCAGTGCCTCATAGTTTTTAACAGCACAGTTTAACAAGACTTTTTATGGCAATAGATGAGGCTTTATTACATGTCCAGTACTAAAGATTGATCTCAGATGGGGCTCCACATACTCTATAGGCCAAAATTATGATGGATGATTTATGTCTATGTATTTTGCTTGTAGTTTAGTGTCTCAGTGCTCATGGCTCATGGTGAACAGTGAGTTGCGGGATGTTTGTTCTTATTGTCTAATAAAACTTACTAACACAGAAATGATTCTCTTGTTGCACTCAGTCATTGGGACATAAACCAAACAATTAGCATGACATTTACATAAAGCATGTTGCCGATGCAGAGTAATACGCCATTTGTCTCTGCTCTTATGATTTTGTGAATCTCTTCAGCTTGTTTCATTGTTCCCTTACCTCATTGTAGACTGTAAAACCCAACGCACATATTTGCACTCATCTTTTCACTGGATAGTTATTTAAATGTATAAGTATAATAGTGAAATATAAATAGTTTCTGCAGTGACAGGCACTTTTAAATCCCAGAAGTTTTTATCATGAACCGTAGAAAATATTTTCAAGTGAAACTACATTTTATAAATATTAAATTTAAACATATAAACAAAAACTATAGTTGATAAGTCACTTTCAGGCAATTTTATTTTAAAAATGTGTCAGGGACAAAAGTATGGGAAAATTAATTTGGGTGTCCCCCTAGAAAAGCAAAGTAAATACTGGCTCTCCATATTCAGTATTTTCAGGATGTTTTTACCATAGTGCTTATAACTAATGTGTTTTAGTTTCAAACAATTATCTTATTCATGTTAAATCCAAACATCAGTTGTGACCATAACAGCTCAGAGTTTTGTAAAGACAACTCAACTCAGAGTCATTTTTTTTAATTATATGTAATTTTGTATGTCATTGTTTGTATTACAGACTCTGATACTTTATTTTGTTGAGGTCCATTTTCTGAAAAGTTTGGAGCCAAAAATACTTATAGTTGCAGAAACACTCAGATTACCCAGGTTACTCAAATGTTTTGGAAAAAGCAGTAACTTTGTGTTTACTGTACCTAATTTAACTGTGTAATATATATATATATATATATATATATATATATATATATATATATATATATATATATATATATATATATATATGTATATAACAGCATAGATACTTACAGTCGTGTGTAAATGTTTGGGCTCCCCTAATAAAGTTGCATGTTCTGTTGAATTTCTAAGTGAAAATAAATTACTCTTCCTCTGCATAAATATCTATTTATGCAGAGGAAGAGTTTATCTAAGTATTCTGCACAGAACACACTTAAATATGGCACTTTTCTGTAAATTTTACTGTACAGTTTCTCTTTCTTTGCCGTGTTTAACATATTGGAAAATAATAAAACATAAAATGTGTCGTAACTTTTGCAATATGTTAAATTCAGGAAATACACTAATTCTGTATTAAAATGTGCAGAAGTGTGTTCTCTGTACACTTTACACTTAGAAAATCACTAAACCATCATTTGACCAGGAGCACCCTAACTTTTGCATCTGCATAACTGTCATACCACAACAATTCAAGTTAAATCCATTTTTATCACATTATTTTGTGTATTTTTTTACACTACTATGTGATTTTCTAAATTGTTCCTATGAGGGTCATGACATTAGTATCATGTACTGAGGAAAGCTGGTCAGCAGATATTCAGCTGATGATCCATCATTTGCTGAAGGATTAAATTCATCACATTATCTTATATCTGCTCAGTGCCTGTACCGGCTCACTAGAAACCATATGAGCCAACCATTAATATTTCATGGAAACTGCTGCCAGTGATCAAAGCTGGGCATCTGGATGGCTCTTAACAGGGTAAAATAAGCAAAGAGAGGGAGTTTGCTATGCTATGCATGCACTCATGCTCAAAATGACTGGACTGTTTTCTGAAATCACATACATTCTAGGACTTGTGATTTTTGTGGCTCAGTTTGTTAGTGGGTCATGTGACAGGCATCGAAAATGTCTGAGCCAAACCACTTAAAATGTCTTGTCCAATCAAAACGTTTTAAACACACAAAATATTGATAATCGAACTGATTCTTGACCACAAAATCAGAAATGGTGTTGAACCTAAAAGTATGTGTAGTTCACCACTTTGTATACTCTGTTTTGTCCCCATCACTTTCCTCTCTTTCCTCACTTTCCTCTCTTTCCTCATCACTTTTTTGTCCCCATCATCTCTGTTCTGTATTAATGTTAAAAGGAAAAGTTAGTTTAGCTCATCATACTAACCTGCAGTTTAAATGTATTTCCTCTACAGACTTTGTAGGACTTGGCGAGTTCATGTGGTTGAAGGAGTGCTTAAAGGACACATATCATTTAAAACTCTCTTTTCTAAAAATAAAAGTTTGATGTGTATGTAAACATTGTTACAATTTTAAAATGTATCATTCACTCCCTGTTCATACAGACCATACATGGAAAAACAGCCTGTTTTGAATTCATTTTTTTTTGTGATGTCACCAAATCAGCGCATTTACATAAATCCATTCATTCTACAGCAGCCTCGCCCATTCACACGGAAGTTTTAAGGAGTGTTAAGTATAACGATTCTTTTTATTCTTTTCAGTCGGTCATATGCAGCAAGCATCATCAGTAATGAAGGACGGCTCTGCATTATCTGCATAATCACAGAACCAAAACGCTGAATGGCTTTAGCGCTGTTGTCAATCCTCTACTGCAACAGTGCACATGGAATTAAACGTAAATCCCCTTGGTAGTGTGATCAGCGTAACACTTAAAAAAGAGGAGGAAGAAGAAATTTGAAAATTTGGAGGTATTTTATGTGTAACAGAACCTGGTTCTCATCAATAACACAATGTTTCATACTTTGTTTCCTACTCCATCCCTGTCCCCAGCACCTTTCAGCACAAAGTGACGCCCATGTTTGTGTGCATATGTAAAGAATTTCATATCATATTAGCTACTCCACAGTAAGTTATTTAGTACTAAGAAAACTAAATAAATAAATATATAAAGCTAGGCTTGTGCTGAAAACACACTGCAGTGTCTTATCACCATGACAGCAATTGTCTACATGATAGGGAGGCTGAGCAATATCAATGAGGACAGGTCAAAGAACATAGGAGTGTTTCACTCTATGCTGTAACAGCCATAATTCACTTTTACATGACTGTATATAATGATATATGTAAATGACCGCTGTTCTGATTGAGTGCTCTGTGATGTGTCTTGTTCAAAAAACTAGACCAGGCTGAAACATTCCTTATAACTTCAGTGTGAAAGGGTGGGGCTAAACTGCTGAAGGCCAAATATACCTATATATAACAACCTAATTGGTTTTTGTGACATTTTGTGATCTTTTTCTTTTTGGCAGTTTCCACATTTGGACTGTATGAACTGGACACTGAATGGGACATTTGGACATTTTAACTATGATAACGTATTACATCAAACTCTATTTAATCATGATATGGGTCATATAAAACACATCCCACTCCACTCCTGACCTATAGTGCAATAATGAGTGATTACAGATTACAGTAATTATAATACTACTACAACTGATTAGAGCAGCCGGATACTCTGCCAGATGCTCTAACCCATGATTTCCATGAACAAAAATAACAGTTTCACAGGATTCAGGGTCTTGTTCTCATTCAAAAGCTTGGCAAATACTGAAGACAACAGTTCACACATTCAGTACCGAACATACTGGATTCTGGATGTGCTGTTGCAAGACATTAAACATGCATTCAAAAGAAAATACGTGTCAGTGCTGTCCGATATTTTGTTCTATAATACGAGATTTTGATCATCCGTCAAACGTGCAGATGGAAATATTAGTGAACGCGTGTTGACAGCTTCATACTGCAGCGGTTTGAGCGGATCAGCGTCGGAAAGAGAAAGGATTGGACTGCTGTCTGGAGGATTAAACTACAATGTCATTAAAAAATGAGATGATCTCCTGTGGAACTTAGAGCCTGTAAGACAGTCATTTAATCCAAAACATTAAAAGCAAACATCAAGGCTTACTTAGGCGCTCCCTTGAAAAGCAGAGTATGGATAAAAACCCAGGCTCTTGCGTAACAGTCTGACAGCGCTACATTTGCTATATACAATCTATGCTTATGATTTCAGTACATTGAAGGACATTTCCATGATATGCATATTGATGCCTGTATGTAATGCCATTCCGTGTGCGCTCATTTTGCAGTTCTTTGCTTCACAATGACCAATAAAAACAAGATAATACTACGACCAGTGAAACCAGGAGGACAGTGAGATATTTAAAGAATGTATCAAATAGTCATATGAGACAGATACATGGTGGTGTGGGTGTACTGAGTTGGCATACTTTAATTTCAGCCACAACTTTCAGTTTATGGGCCAAAGTCTAGTACTGCATGACTAAGAGCTGCCCAAGGGTCTCCCTGTCTCCCCCTGTAGTTTGGGAATCCACATTCTGACTAACAAAAAATTGGTTACCAACTCAACAACTAGCTCAAAAAAAACACTGACCTCATACTGAGGAGTGCTTCCACAGTACTACGGTATAGCTAAATCGAGCAGTTCCCGGCCCTGGTCCCGCAGAACTGCCATTTATGCACACTTAACTAGCTAATTAACCCCTTATATGGCCAGAGCCCAGGGGCACGCCAAAGTTTTATTGCACACTTCTATTACCTAAGAATAGCTCAGCCAGTTTGCATTGAAGTCCCTGTAGTTACTGAATAATAAGCCTTAGTTTGTAATAACCCTAGGACTTTGAGGGGTTAACAAGCTCTTCTGAAGTTGAAGTAGGTGTGTTAGAGCAGGAAATCACTAAAATGTGCAGGGAAAAGGGCACTCCAGAGCCAGGGTCAGGAACCTGTGGCTTAATCCAATCCAGGGAACAGCACTGGTGAATTTGACGTGACCGTTACCCTCTGCACATTATCCAGAATTCGTCTTAATGGTCTAGTGCAAGTGATGGGTCTGTCTGATATCCAGTCTACTCTCCCACACTGTATTTCCAGGCTCCCTAAAAGGGAGGCTTTTGTGCCAGTTACTTCCTGGGTGAACACAGTAAGTCTGAGTGTACAGCTCTGAAGCACTTCTAAAGTGCTGACCTCAAGCACCAGATTCTTTCTGTGGAGGTCAGAGCTGAGGTTGTGGTGCTGGTCAGACATCTCCAAAAGGCCTGGCCAGAGTGGAGCAAGACTGGCCCGAACCATCAACTCTCCCAGCCTATGCATTGTCCCTGTAAGGCTGAGCAAGGTGATGGTAAGGGTCTGCTGTGCTGGTGAGAAGGTCAGGGTAAAATGCAGGCAGGGATCTGTGTCTTCATAGCTTAAATTTGAACCGTAGTTGGGAAGCAGAGGTTTCTCAACAAGCTGGCCTTGAGGTTGAATGGCCGAGAGAGCGCAGAGGGAAACTGGACTTGGCGTAGTGAGCTGTATACTCTCACTGTTTGGGCGAGTGTCCCCTGACACAGTGCAATGGCGCTTAAGCACCCTGTGGGTCTTCGACAGGAATCCAAGCTTGGGAAAGGAGGGCACTGAGGAGCGCCCACTGGTCACTGGCCTGTAGAGTGGTGAGGAGAGGGTTGGTGAGCTGAGACGTCGTAATGGGAAGCAGGACTTAGGCTGTTCATTCAATTCTGAGGTAGCACGAGGTCTTGAGGCAAAAGGCATGGCAGTAAAATCGTCATCTGATGGTGTGGAGCTTGCGAAGGCTGATGGGCAGTCGAGAACGTCCCCTTCTAGCTCCTCATACTGCACTTTGGTGGACGTGGCCTCTGTGGAGAGAGAGGGACTTATGGCAAGGGTCACATGATCAGCAGCTGGAGGTGGGGGGGGAGACGCCGAGTCTTCTTTGTCTTCAGGACGTTTTTGTCTCGTCCGTCGCCAGCACAGGACGCAGCCCAGGATAAGAGACAAACAGAAGACCACCAAGCCCACTCCCAGCAGAATCTGGAGGTGGACTGAACAGATATGACCGTCAGAATGGCATATTAATCTGCAACCTCAGCCCCTGTTTAAATGAGGGAACAACTGCTTTGCGGTAATCCTTAAAAGAGGAAATCTAATCCCAATTAGAACACAATCCAAAAAAAAGACAACAACCTTTTTATTTAGTCTTCTGCAGTAAAAAGAGGGAAGAGTGCAGATGTTGATTTAGTGTTGAACTGAGAGTTACACAGTGTTTTACTGCATAAAATACTTTTTTTTAATTGAAAGACAAAATATCTTAAAATGTCTCTTATAAAATTTGAAAAGAATTCTAACAGCTGCAACAACAGAGAAATGAAGAATGGTGCACTTGAGTAAATTATAGAAGAATGATGGCTAAGGTTCAATACTGAATGTTTTAAGAGTCAGAATGAGAGTAACTACCACATTCAGTTCATTATTCTTGAAATAAAGACTAGTTTGTGACTAAAAGATGTTTAAAGACCTCGATGGTAACACTGCTGAAGGGCAACATTCGTAGGACTACCTGACAACTACATAAACCTTTAATGACAACTGACATAAACCTGCATAAACTTTTATAAAGGCTTATTACAACGAGCATCATCATAAAGGCTACTTTTGTCCATTTTCATGTCATTTCACATCAGACATTGTTATGACAACAGATACTTGTTGGAATAAGCCTTTACAAATGTCTACATAGGTTTGTGTCAGTTGTCAGTTAAAGGGCTCATGTAGGTGTTGTGTAGCCTTATGAACGCTACCCTTCAGTAAAGTGTTAACAGTCTATTTCTCCATCATAAGTTGGAACCGAACAAACATTTCTACTAAACCAGGGGTGTCAAACTCAGTTCCTAGAGGGCTACAACCCTGCAGAGGTTCATGCTTTCCCTCTTCTACCAATTCAACTTATCAAGCCTTTGCTAATTAGCTGAATCAGGCATGTTGCATGATGTAGAACGCTAAGCTCTGCAGTATGCTAAACCTCTGTGTTAACCTACACTCTTTGAAATACAAGATCTGTTTTCACAAATCTCAAAATAGGACAACAGATCCAGGACCAGATTTCCTACACTCCTTATAGGACTAATCAAAACAACGCTGGTCCAGAATCAGCACTCCTGAATGGAGATGCTTTGTTAATTTCACCCCAAATTAAAAAGGTAGCATGAGGCGAGGACATACCTTCCAGGTGCTTAGTGAAGAGCACCTGAATCAGCAGCCACATGAAGAGCACAACAATGATGCCCTCAATCATGCCCTTACAGCAGAAGATCAGCACAGAGTGCCACACTGGCTGCCCGGAGTAATCATCATCCTCACTGGACATGATGACATGCAGACACTTGCTGTCCCTGCTGGAGTCCAGTGCTTTCACTACATCCTTCAGTCCTTCAACCCCGAAATATGCCCAGCAATGAATTTTAGACTATTCCAGTGTCTTTCTCCAACTTGATCTGTGCTTGTTCCATCTGTTATCATTGGTTCTCACAGGACTCTTGAGGAACCACTGCTTGAGCAAATGACCAAAGGTACAAGCTCACATCAGCTCTATGTCAAACATCCACACAGATCTTTCCCTTCCTGATGTGAATGTTGGTGTTTGGTGCGGAAATCCATTCTTTTTGCTCCAGATGAAGCTTGTTGTATTCAATCAGCTTGTTTATATGAGCTAAGCAGTAATCCCCTGTGCTGATGAGAGAGAGACTGACTGACGGATTGGCGGAAAGACCAAAAGTAGTAGCAGAGGTAGAACGTGGGCGGGGTTATGCTACATCAATCACAGGCACATATATGGATGAGTGCCCTGTATTTACCCACCTTCTAATCTGAACCACTCCTCCTCTGCTGGGGTTATCATTAACACAATCCATGCCAGCTGTCCCTTCCATTAGCAGCTTCTAACGTCATCAGAGTGAGTAGCCAAGTGCGGGTGAATGCTTTATAAACACCATGCCCATGAGTACAAACAAAAAACAACAACTTGCCAGTGTAGCTGGGCAGTAATTTACACAGATTTTCAGGGAAAAATCTGAAAGAAAAAATTGGTAACACTCCATAAATATCAGCTTAATTGTTATCTAATAGTTTGTCAGTGGTAGTTATTCATTATATAAATGTTACTTGGCATTAATAAGTGCTACAATATTGATTATTAACTATTTGCTCAGTGATGTACAAATAAAGCACTGTAAATGCTTTTCATGGATGTATTATATTTGTGTGTGAGGCACAATACATATTTATAAATGCACAATTAATGATTACTGTTACAAAGGTGCATATGAACCACTTAATAATGATTAACATTATGGAAAGTTTTATGCATCACAAAGTAGCAAGTATGGAAATAAGCAAACGTAATTTTTCGAGTTAGATATTTTAGGGCTTAGGAGTATCAAAAACTAAATCATTAATAGCAAAGTATTATTAATGATTAGGTTTCTACAATTCAAAATAATTGTTGAGCATCAATGTCACTAAACAAATGGTTAATAATTCACATGTTCTCATTTATTAGTGAGAATATTTATTAAATATATTATAATTACTAACAGTCATTAAAAAACATTAGGAGTTGTTGTATATTGGGGCCTGTAATATTACAGCAAACATGATTGACTGACAAACATGTCTTTTGTTTGGGGTAAGGGGTAATTTGGGTAACACTTTATTTGGTCCACTGTAGATGCGTTGTAGATGCTCAGTATATTTTTACGTAATGTTCAACTAAATATCTATTAAACGCAAGGGAACCTGAAGTGTGGAAGATTCTATTAAATCTATTCCTAACCCTAACCTCAAGGCAAAACCTACACCTACTCCTAAACCTAACCCGAACCTTAATGTTATTGATAATCAACTATCACCAGAAAGTTTGGTAATGGTTTAATTATCTATAGATCATCTACAGAGAACCATCCAAATAAAGTGTGCCTGAAATTTGTGTCAACTGTTCTTAATCAGTGAAGCATTGTTTTAACGCTGAAAAAGAATCATGTTTGCTCTTTAATGCGTACCTCGTTTTTTTAAAGGGCCAGTATCATAAAAAAAACTTTTGGAATAATATAGTATGTAAACACTGGTAAGGTTACAAAATGTACTATTCACTTCACAGTCCATACAGTCCATATATGGAAACAAAAGGTGCAAAAACAGGCTGTTTTGAATTCATTATTTTATAATGTCATGAAAATAATCATTTATCCACCCTGTTCAATCCAGAGTAGTTTACTCTTGAATATTCATGCCGAAGTTATAAGCAGTGATTCAGCCCAGACTGCTTTATGAATGAGGCACAACATTGGCTGCCCTATCAGAACAGGGCTCATTTACATATAATCAGTCTTAAAGGCACAGTACCTGAAACAGTCTATTTATTCTAGAGAATAAAAAGTTTGGAAAATGGTGATGCAAAACTGAATTAAATGGAAAAAAATAACCACTAAGAAAAATGTAGGGCCTTTTGATATAGTGTAAACAGAAACCTAACTGTACGAAGAGCAACATGTGCACAGATCAGTGAGCAGCTGAACAAATCTCTGATACTGTCTGTGTACCTAGTGAAGGTAACACTGCCTCTTGGTGTTAAACAGAATGAACTGCATTCTGCTTTTGTTTCATACAATAAGCTTGCGTGTAATTTCAGAGACTTGCTTCATAAAGGTAAAGCATATCAGGTGTAACAGTAAGCCAAGAACAGCGAGATCAAAATCTCCAAGGAGTTTTTTAACACTCCAGTAAATATCTAAGAATAAAAATTCAAGACCTCTAACCAACCACTGCAGAACTGCAAACATTAACAAAAGATCAAACGACATGACTTGTTGCATTAACTCAGACTTTAATTCCACTTTGTCAAGCTCCATGTGTAAATAAAGTGAGAACACCAGAGAGCACAGTAGAAATACAGTGAGATGGTCTTTGGTTTTCAGCTGTGTAGTTATCTGTCAAAGAGGTAAGAGATATCATATCTGTAGGAAATATTTTCAAGCACAAAATGTCAAAGTAGGGATGGTGAATGTGGGTCCTTCGAGAGGTAACAAAATCACCTCCTGACCACATCCCTTACTGAAGACTGCTCTGTGTTGTAAGGTTTGGGGGAATCTCATTAATTCAGTGAATCATGTAGATGCAACAAAGCTCCATTCAAAACTGAAATTCATCACTATTTACATTTATCAGGTACTGAACAGACCTGACTGAATTGAAATAAGATCAACCCCAATCCCACTGACACATGGTCTTTATAGAAAAAACTGAAACACTTGATATGAGATTTCTCTCTTTATCATCATAAACGTCTAATAATTCTCATACCACTGCATGGAAGTTGTTGTTAGTTATGTACATATTTCTGAGGTATTTTGTCCACTACTAACCTGAGAACATAGCAGAATTTAATAAGAGGTACTTTCAGAGATAATTCATAAAACTCAAAAAATCTTTATTTGACTATCTAGTGTCTGGAGCTAATTCTGAGGTAAATCCTGACTTATACAATACAAAGGTAATTTTGAGGTAGCTATTTCACTTCTCCCGCTGAGGTATATCTAGCCTTGTTCATTTGAGACATGAGGCGTTGTGGTGCTGAGGTAAAAACCACTGAGATCAACCTGAAATTCCTGAGAAACTTGCTTTCCAATATGGAAAGGCATTTGAGGTCTAAAGTCATAAGAGAGTAAAAAGAAAAGAAAAACAAAGAAACAAATAAAGATAGACAATTTTCAAGGAGAAAGGGGAGGAATGCAAAAAAAAACAAAAAAAAACAAAAAAAAGCCCCAAACTTAAAGCGCTGTTCCTGTTTTTCCTTTAGCACAGTGTGACCAGGATCAGTATGCATCGTGAGAACTCTTAGATTCTTTATGAACAAAGACCCTGAAATTTCTTTGATTTCAGCATTATCGTGCCTTTTTGCATCTTGGTTTGATTCAAAAAAGTCTATCTGAACAATTCCTCAAACCATCTCCACATACCAAGGAAATAACATGCTAATAAGGGCCCATATTAATGAGCCTGTAACTGATCGTCCGACGCCATCTAAATGATTGACTTGTGGAACACTCGGTGTCCCCTCTAATGTCGTGCCTATGGTCAAGACCATTCTTTGGACCAATCTGTTGTCTATAAAATGTCTATAATAGCAAAATGTATGCTTTAAGCTGTGTAAACTGCAGTTTCAATACTCAAAACTCTTCAAAACTCTTTCAAAATCAAATGAATATTTCTGTATATCTAGAAACTAAAATAATTGATAAACAAATCCACAATCAAATCAAGAAAATACACTAAATAAAGAAAGAAAAGATAAGAAAAAAAAGTTTGACCCCACTGCTAACAAAAACAACTGCAAATAACACTTGATGGGATTGTGGTCCATTTGAAATCTAGCAAAATGAATAAAAAAAAACCCTCTATTCATAGATCAGACAGCAATCAGAGTACTCAGCCCTGATACACTGTAATCCACTCTTGGTGTGCATAAGATAATTACAAAAGAACACCTACTGATGGAAAAATGTTTAAATGCCCACTGTAGGATTTTGGCAGAGTATTTTTGCCATGATTGTTTAGCAGCGGCATTTGTAAACAGATGATTCTATGGATGAGTATGCATAGAGGAAGGCATATAGTACAGTTACTAAACGTGTGTGGAGCACGAAATGTGCTTATAACAGCATTTTCATTAAGATTAAGTTGAGGTCTTTGTTGTGATTTTGGATATGATCATTTTCATGATCTTCCAAGTCCTGAGAGAGTTTGCAGCAGACATGTGGCAAAGGGCACAGGCCATCTGCAACAGGGCAGAGCAGTTACTAAACTCTGTGTAAGTGGAGGCCCCTCTCAGCAGAAATGAGCCTGAATGATCTCAAAAGGAGGTAGACTTGGCTTTGATAGTCCACTGGATGGCCAAAAACTCGCCATAGACAGGATGTGCTTCTCCAGGAGAGGGAGACTATAGTTAGGCAGGCTGCTGGGAGCTAGGGAGAGACAGCACCAGCTGGCTCCACAGAACCAGGGCCCTTGGAGGAGGAGGACGAGGCGGAGGAGGAGGCGATGTTGGGGCTATGGGTGGAGCTCTGGCTTAAGGATGTAGCTGAGTTAGGCATGGCTACAGAAGACTTCTGAGCATACAGGGAACCTGTACAAAAAGAGGTCAAAAAGGTTAAATAAGCAAATTACGCAATCTCATTATCCTAAAAAGACCTTTTTTTCCACAAGATTCTTTTTAATACTAATCAATGTTAAAAAGGTTTTCTCTTCCTCTCAAAGTTACCGTTCTGGAGAGGCGAGGTTCTTTTAGGATGGTGATGAAAGGCATAAAAACTAAAATAATCTTAACTAAATACAACACAGCTAAACACAGGTTATAACAGGTTATGACTAATTTTCCGATGGTATCAGTTCTGTCACAGACCTGAGTAAATAATCCCATTGACCTCTACGGACACGGTGATACTGGCCGATCCACTGGAAGAGATACTGAGAGACAGATCCTGCTTTTCCTCTATGGAAGGGAGAAGACGTATTATTATTATAGATTATTATTTTATTTCAATTTCCACAACGTAGGCAATTTAAGCCTGAAGACTCACCACGTGTGCTGGTGCTGTTGATGCGGAGGTTGGCAGGGTTCACTTGTGATGCCATGGCAAGCAGGTTCTGCTGGAAGGCCTGCTGCAGCAGCCTTTGCTGCTCCTCTGCCAAGCGTGCCATCTTTCTCTCTGGCGCCTCCATAGCAGGAGCACCCATGCCAGTCTCCAGCCTCTCACGCAGCTGCTCCAGGGTGGCAGCCCGGGCCAGCTGCTGCTGCTGGTGACCCAGAGCCAGAGCCAGGGGGATTCGACCTGGCAACATGGAGGCAGGACCCTCTTCAGGAACTGAGAAAGCAGACAAAACAGTAACAAGAATGATGAAGACCCAATTTATACAAACAGGGCTAAAAGTTAAATAATACTCAGAACAAACACTGCTTGCTCATTAGACAAATACAATACTGTTTAGAATTACCTGTCATATTATTAAATTATTTTATATTATAAAACCATACAGTGTAGACTGAAATAAAAAACTAGATACCAGAAGTACTGTTATATTTCCGTCAATATTTTGCATTTTAAATGCCGGGAACAAAAGGTTATTAAATGCTAAGTAATGTACTGGTAGAATAGTTATCTGCCTTGAGATTTGATTACCAGTTTTCAAAAGACAAAAGAATATTGAAATTCTCTATTATTCAGCTTTCTCAGTAATGAAATCACAGCTCTGTTCTTTATTCAGGACACATAAAATTCCTTAATTTAAAGCTTCCTAATATTTAACTGAAAGTTAGCACCATATTACAACTTTATAAATCTGCAAGATATCTGCAAAATTGGTTTTATATTAATGAAAATAATTTTGCAATGATTCCAGACTTTTGAACGGTCGTGTACATTTTTAATTGACAGCTGAATCACATAATTGAAGATGTGGTTGAAGATGTGTTACATCATTACCATAAAATAACATTGTAATGAGTTTAATAAGAGAACAGTTAGGCAACGTAGTCAAGCACAGCATGCTGAACTGCAGTCATATGTATAATGTGTTAACTGAGGCCCCTAAGGTGACTGCCTGCAGCAGGGCCTCAGGAAAACCTTCCTCTTAATGGCTTTCACACTATGGCCTTTCCCAATCAGCCCCTGCAGGCCAGGAAAACTGCTCCATTTCCCAGACACATTTCCTGCCTGCTACAGTCTGCCCTTATACGCAGCTTTCTTAAAAATGCTGTACATTTCTTTTGTCTAATGGCATTAAAATGATCTAATACCAGGTTTATAGTTTTATTAATTAATTTAATAAATCCTGATAACTAGAAATAAGAAATATTGGTATTTTGCCAGCAGGTGGCGCTTCAACCCTTAAACACACAATAGCTCAGTTGTGCAAAAAACATCCCTTTCTCATATACAAACGACTTATCTTAATAAATGTCAGCAGGTTCAGCAAAGGGGTCACTACTGGAAGCCGCTACTGGATGCAAATTGCATTTAAAGCCCCAAACAGGATTTGCTAAAACAGTCCAATGACTGTACAGGACAAATACTGACTTTACTAAAAGGAAACACAATGGTCACTGACAAATTGTGGAAGATGTGACGTTACTGAAAACCCCATGGTTCCATTTCTTAAAAAGAGAATTGAAAATCGTATTTACATTGACATAGTTGAATAAGGAGAACTCGGTACACAGAACTGATATACCGTAAACTTTTGTCTCCTCCTTCAAATACAAAGTCTGCATTTGCAAAAGCACCACCATTTAAGCTGGAACAGAAAATTCCCAAACAAGCTGGCAAATCGGAAGCCAACTTCAGCTCCCACATGTTTAACAGGATCCTGGACAACTTTAATTCAGAGCTGTTAGTTTGCTCTGCACATTTCACTCTCGCAGTTACTCAAACCTTGGACAATATCAGTCACTGTAGAGACTGAAGGGAGGGGCAGTTTCAATTTTATTGGCATCACAATCCCAACAGCCACCTGTAAGTTGCCACGCTGTGTGATTTTATCCACTTTTTACGGTTGACGTCAGATTATCTTAAATTGAAAGTTTCATGGTACTGTGTTGTCGATACCAAAAGCAAGTAGCTAGCAGTGTTAGGTACTAGCAAGCTTAACTATCATGTTACTTGTTGGTTCTGTGAGCCATCATGGAGCCTGACCTGTGACAGGGGTTTTAAACTGCCCAACAAAGCTGTTCAACAGAGAAAGCTGTATTCCCAGCGTGTAAATCCAGCCGCATTTACCTGTCCCTTTTTTAAGGGCTGGAGTAGGTGTGCTCTGCAGGCCGTTGTGTCCAGAAGCAGGCAGGTGCATCTTGGGAGGGGAAAGGAGGTGGGGGGCACCCCCACTCGGCGAGGGAGAGAAGCGGTAGAGGCTATTACTGTAGCCAGGGCGTCGGCCCTCCCTGCGGTTGCTATCGATGGCGGCCTGCAGCTCCCCAGGAGAGCTAAGCCCTTTCTTCTCACATTCATATGGGTAGAGGTACTTCATATACCTAGAGAGGACACGAGGACACAAGGACACAGATCAGGATACTGCACAAATTCAAGCACAAACACTTTGAACATTGCTGAGTGGACAGCAACAGCCAAGACACCAAAACACGTTCATGACAAAACATTTGACTATGGATTACAATATAGAGTGAATGTGGACCTTACGGTAATTATATAGATCCTGTAACAAAACATTTCCAAATGGGCCTTAGGGACAATGACGGTGTGTTCTACACAGTTAAAGTTTTTTAATCCTTACTGTGTGCGGAGGGTGAAGGCTGCGCTGGTGATGGATGTGGGGAGGTTTAGGCCTTTGGTGATCTCTCTCCAAATTTTCTTATTGATCACCTCTACCAGGCCTCCTTTCTCAGTCACGAGTTTATAGAGTTTATAGAGGTCCAGGACCTGCTTGGCCATGATGGGGATACGATTCACTGGTGTACCTGAAGACAAAACAAGGAGTCAGATTAAATTCTAAAGAAGTGATTACGTTGTGAAGTGCTCGTGATGTGACGTGTAGCATAGATTTCTATATTGTTCCATGCTTTTGTCTCTCCTTGTGGCAGTAAAGCCAGTTGTGGAGGGTGGAGCCCCCTTCTTTTAATGACTATGAAGCTTTCAGGACTGACATATACGTTACCAAGCACCCCATCCCAACTGTGAAGCTGTTTGGTCATATAACGTACGCAGGCCCAGACGGACTGAAAAGTTGGTAAATGAACATGGATGTGCTGGCGTCATTCAGTCCTCCCAAAGGGGAAGCATCAGGTTGAAACAAGGGATACACAATGATACCAGAATCATATCAGTATTGACAGATAATGGTTTAAAAACAAAAACAAAAAACAAACAAACAAAAAAAAAAAAACGATGTTTAGATTTCCAAGTGACATTTGATGAGTATTTACTGTTTCCAGAAAAGAGGAGAATGTTTAGGCGTTCAATGGCACTGAATTTTATTTATTTTGTTGCATTTGTAACACCACAGAAACTATACTCTGTACGGCTAATCCAAGTAGATGTAGTCCCAATTTCTATGTCTTATAAATGTCCGTCAGATCATCAACACATCTGCCCTATCTGTACTTCCCTAGTCAAGGCACAGGCCCCGGGCCACCACTAGTACTTTGAGCTCTACACATGGTAAATTATGCTTATTGTGAAAGCTGTGCCAAACGCCAAATGTGCCTAATTTCATTTTTTGTCCATGTAATCTATTATACATGTATACCTTTTCTCCTTCAAGTACATAAAAGCTCTTCAGAGTACTGGGGCAAAACTGTAAGAGTAAGATGAAGGAAATCTGGAGGGGACTGCTCCTGACCCAAAGCATGGTGGAAGGGGCAATGAAACTGGCTCAGTTGGTTTTATAGATGATGTGACTGCCAACAGCAGCGGCAGGAAGCAGTCAGAAATACAGATCCAACTGTTACGGCAAGCATGCAGTTTTCAAGGCTGAGCCTCAACGCTATTAGACATGTATTTCACATACTGAAGACAAGTCTGAAGGCAAAAAAATAAATAATAAAACCACAAGCACTAAAGTTAGCAGTGGCCACATCACAGGCCTGACAGAGCACTGTCAATGTTTATATTAAATAGTCAAGGTTTTACTTTAATCATAAGGTTCTGAAACTCAGGCCAAAAACAAAACAAACAAAAAGAAAAACAAGCAAAAAAGCAGTCAGTCAAATTACATATGGACCGCCCTGTATATAAGAGTGCTGCGGTGCTAAGCATGAAAGTGGCTGGCAGAAGGGAAGGGGTAATGCTGTAAGAAGCTGCACCAGGCATTAATTAAAAGGTTCAATGTGAGACCGGGTGCTCCGCACCCTGCCCAGCTGAACAGGGATTGGGGCAAGTTTTTAATCCGTGAGTGCTAGCAGCAGGGGGACGCGTGGATAGGCCCGTGTAATGAAGCTCATTTGGAGGGATTGTGTCCGCTAAATCCAAACACACACACTCTGTTAGCCCAGTTACTGTGTGGGGAGATGAGGAGAGAGAGAGAGAGATAGAGAGAGAGAGATAGAGAGAGAGAGAGAGAGAGAGAGAGAGAGAGAGAGAGAGAGAGAGAGAGAGAGAGAGAGAGAGAGAGACAGAAAGAGAGAGAGGGATGGAGGAGATCCTGTACCTATACCTACACTGTTCCAATCCCAGAACAAAACCAATTAATGTGTGTGGCAGACAGGAATAGCTCTGGTGAGCTGAGGTTAGGATTATGCCCGTCTCATTTACACATCCACATGGATGAACAGGAGATGAGATGACTTTAGACAGCCATGTGTGAATTTTGCCCTAAATTGTATTTTGGATTCCTGGTACTTTTTATTGCACATTTTCAAAAGGCCCATTAAAACAAACAAAAAAAAAAACAAAAACAGACCCTTTTCTACTATTAAAGTTTAGCCTCTCAAATTCACAATATTAGAGTAGATGTCGCAGGAAACAGTATACAGTATGTTATAATTGTATGAATCACCATCATATCACTTGCGACTACATATTCCTTCTGAAGTAATCACATGGGGGGCTGATGCTTCCTGAGCAAACAGAAAAAAAAGCACTCCAAGGAGCCTCCAATGGTAGCTGTCACTAGACATTTCAGATGATGGAAACACTCCTAACAGCTGAGCTATTTCATCATGACTACTTTAACAAATGTCTGTTTTCTTACAAGTGGGTGACTAGCATGAAATGTGGCCTACAGGTATCTCTAGAATAAATCTAGCGCAGACAGCAAAAAAGGACCTCTGAAGATCAAACCATGATATTTAACCTTATTCTTTCATCAGGCAGATGAATCTGAGCTGTGTTTCTGTGGGGATTTAACAGGAGCAATATGCCTTCATTTGCCTCTGAAGCCCCCTCTCAGGAGTATGCCAATAGGCATGACGTGTTCATTTACCCAGAGAGCACGGAGTGATTTAAAACCGCATGGCTTCCAAGACAGGGCCCAGCACTCCCTGGGGAGACAGGAGCAAGGTCTTGCTTTGAAAACGAGTTATTTAGCGCTGGGGACGACATTACTCGTTCATCAAACGATCAGTGAACGGGCTCAAGCTCCGGGTTAACCCCAGGTCACCATGCTAGGGATTTAGAAACAGGTCAAAAGTATGGGACGTGAAGTAGTACCGTCAAGGGAGAACGCTTGTGGCATGTTCCATAACTGTAAGACCTTGCTCACACGTGGTGGAAAAGCCATTCACAACTTTGTACATCATGAAAACTTTTTCTAAGGCCTAATACTTATCTAAAAGCAACTGATCACCTCTCTGTAGCCATGAACGGGAAAAGACATTAGGATAAAACAGGAAAGGTTAATGACATGAAAGAGTGAGCCCTGACATTAGGCAGAGCGGTGCTGTGATTAGAACTGCCCCCTCAGCCTGACAGACTGCGTTAGCGCAAGTAGGACCTGACCTTGCTAAGCCTTAAACAAATCAGTCACAACTAACAAGCCTGGGAGAGAGAGGAAAAAAAACAGGACAAACTTCCGGACATAGTAAGATTTAGATAAAAGAATGATGACATACAAAATAAAAGTTCATTTATTTTTCTACAAAACTGCTAAATCCAAATGTCATTGCAACTACAAAATTTTATCAACAGTTGAGCAAAACAGCAGTTTCAAGATTTCTCAGATTAGTTTGAACTTCACAAAAAGAAATGTTTTACAGTAGAATTAGCGTACTTTATTCACTTTATTCCCTCTTTTCTGCTTTCCCTTCCCCTGTTCTGTCCGTCCTGCTAGTAAAAAACAGGTCAGTGGATCTGACCCCTGCCCTATATATGGAGGAAACAGCTGCCCACATTAAGAGGCCTTTACTCTCTAATGAACCAATAGCAGGCCCTTGCGATGCTGACTGGATGAAGGAAATACCACACTCTGGCCTAAACAATGATTGCCTTTCTTACTGTAGGGCTGAAGTGAAAGGAAAGGAGAAGGGGGCACAGGAAATGCATGGTCTCACACCAGATCAGACATTCTGGATGATATGGTGGCTAAAGACATTGTACAAGACCCAAATAGAATGTTTCAATCAGAAGTGTTTAGGTATCAAGAACAACTCCAGCACTTCGACTGTAAACTACAAATAACCATGTAGAGATGTGGGAATATCTTCAGAGAACTGCACTAAAAATGAATTATTTCTTAAGATCGGCATGTGGTAATGCCAGGATCAGACTACACAAATTCGATTTTGACACAGCCAGCAAATTTTCAGCAGCGGTCCCGAATATCAGGGTTGGGAACAATGAATGGGTCTTGCAGTGTGACATAATCAAAGAACTTCGATGCTACATATGTCTGGGATGCCCCACGACACCCCGATGAAAAGACTAGTATGTCAGAATTTTTTGTATTTTCCTGCCTAGTTTGACATTTCCTGCAACTCGTTCTTTGTTAAACAACAGGATGACAGAGTGCTGCCTGGCGCACATATGTAAACATGGTAAAGAGAAAGAGGGACGTTGCTGTCGGAACTGTCAGATGGAACAACGCAATAGAGGAAAGGTTCGTTAAACTGTGGCAACAATAACCCCGCCCTTGACGTTTCCTCGTGGGAGTACCACGCTGGCGAGAAATAGCAAAAGCGTTTATAGCATCTCGTTACATAGAGGCAAACTTTTTCGATACCCATCATTTATTTAATGTTTTTGATATGTTAACACATTCGTTACCTCAAAATCTCTCTGGGATTGACAGCCCATACAGTCCTCTTGGTCACACTACGGAACAGGTCGACAATGTTTTTTTTTCTCCTTTCCTTTCTTTTCAGAGCACAAAACTGCCAGCATCACACATAACGCTTCCGATTGACAATTTCTTGACCCTGCTCTCTGACTATTTATGAACTGCCTCAAGAATGTGAACAATGATTGGTCGGTGTTGTAACTTGTAGTGTTGCCAGTCTCTGACCAAGACATGGTACGAATTAATGGTACTATGATTGCCTAATCGGACACAGTGACCATAGCGAAAGGCTGATCCCGGGATTGTGAAGTCTGATGCCGGTACAAGAGAATGTGACATATATTTGCAAGAATAAATGTATTTTTAAAAAGACTAAATCTGATATACATAAACATACCCAAAATTTTAAGTAAATGGTAAGGTTATGGTACGGGAATGACAGAAGTTATGTATGCACAAGACTGCAACTCCAGGCAGACGCTAAGTGTGGTATTTGATCCAATATTCATCAGTCAATTAGCAGGAAGAAATATTTTGCTGTTATTTCTGTTGTGCTCTAATACCAACAACAACACCAACAACAACAACACAACAACACCAACAACCTTCTGTTTGGCCAAATAACTATTAACTACAAAGCTGCCAACTAACTAACCAAGTGGAAAAAATACAACGGAATTTGTAGTGTTTATTTTGTTGTAGCTTAGGTCACATTTATAATATCACAAAAAATAAACTTCTGATGGG